ATATAAAACATTCCGCAAATTATTTTTTCAAATCACTCACTTTATGAAGATTATGGACCTGCGATTTCAAATCGTGAACTTCATTTGAAACGTCTCTAAAAAGAGTAAAATTACATGATGACTGCAAAGAAAGGACACCGATAAAATATGACACTGCTTACAAACACAACCAGCTTTACAAATATATGATTTAGTCCAAACTTAAACCAGTTTATGGACAGCCACTAGCTAAAAGCCAACGTTTAACAATGTTGTGACTGTTCATCTCTTGTTTCTGAATGTCTTGTTTTCAGTACATAAATTACTGGAGTTTTGTCAAATGTAAATACACCGACAAACCTAAAAGCGTAACAATGTAGAAGACTTTGTTTGAGGGAGTGACGGGGACGCTATCTAAACAGAATATCGATGAGTCTCCGCCATGATAAAACCATTGGGATAAATATGAACAATTTTTTAGAGGTGCAGAATTTGAAAATAGCTTTGAAAAAAGCCAACATTTTGCAACACACTTAAAGCTTTTTCGTTGAAAGAATAAAACTTCAGAATAATGGTCCAAGGGAACAAAATGGAAAAAATATACAGAGTTATGGATAAAAACATAAACTTACGTCGTACTCATACATACATATTTTGGTGCACAAGACAGGACGGTTCTAACTTTGAATCTCTGAGTTTAATGGTAAATGTGATCATTTGGAAATTGTAAAATATATAAAAATTTCTAGATAATTAACGATAAATACAGTGACTCACGCCTCGGTTTTCTTTTTTCTTGATTTCTTTGCGATCAATCGATGTTTGCCAGGATAGTGGGCCCTTGGAGGGGTGACTGGTTTGAAGCTGAAGTGTGGGGGCACAGCTGGGGGCAGCAAATTGGTTGGACTAACACCTGAAAAATGATTTATGATTAAATAAAAGAATATAAGACTTCTTTATAAAAAGTATAATTTATTTGATATAGAGTTGGAAATGAGCAGTTTTGACGGTTGCACCTAGGATGAAATGATCAGCGAAGCCGAGTTAGGCTTTGTTGTTTGGAGATTACATCATTAGAGGATGTCCTGTAATGGAAAATTCCGCTCTGTTTGATGTCACCATGATTTTCGTGAGCTAAATTACCCAAAAAGCTACTTTGAGTTCGAGACTTTTAACGTATAAGCTATGCGGAATTCAAATCTGTAAATTTTGTCAGAATTCTGCCAAATTACCTATCAAGCGGAAATTTTTTCAAAGCCAACGCAAGAGGTGTATTTGGCTTTACGGATTATATCTATATGAACCTGTAGCACACCATAAACGCACCAAGCGAATTCTGCAAAATGCAACTACATGAAATTCGCAGTGCTGCTGTCATTCTCACTTACGTTCAAAGCAAACCTTATAATATCTGTGTCATAATTTGGCCTACCACATTGAGGTAAACAAATGAGTATAAATACAATTGACTGGGATGTAATTACGAAAAAAGAACGAATTTAACGCGGAAAAAATCGAATCACGTTTTACTCCCCTATCCCTCCCTAATCAATTACGCTCTCGCTTAAAACGAAACAACTACTAATTCGTAACAACACAAAACATTGTTACTGACTGTAACAAGTGGATTTATGAGTCGATTCATGTAATCACGTGAACAATAGCGATATCGTAATAATAAAAGGTCGAAGGGGAAATTGCGAACCTTTCTTTGAATAACTTTACTTTTACATTTTAAGGAATAACAGATATCGAAATCGGCGGCTTTGATTTGACTATAAAGTGCAGAAAGAAAATTCTAGATGGAAAATTACCAGTGTTTTGGCACAACTGCTAGATAAGTAGGATATGATGTATTTTTTATCAACAGAAAACTCTAGTCTAATGCTTTGATGAACTATTTTCAAGAATACGTTGTCTGTTGCAAGAAGATGCAAAAAGCTTCCTTAAGAGTGAATGAAAATGAATTCAAACGTTCATCTAAACTGGGAGAAAGGTAAAACAACAACAACCTACTAAAATTGCGTTACTTTATGTGTACTTATTTGGAGCAAAGTGCTGAATAACTGGCAGAGGGTCGGGTCAATAACTTGTCTGAAAGGAGGCGCGCTTTATGTCATTCAGCAGTTGGTCAGCGCGGGTTTTTCGTTGTCCGTTAGTTCCATTTGCGGCATCGAATTTTAAAATCAACGTTGCGCCTTAAAAGCCAAGGCAGACGTAAGTTCAAGACCAGCGTAAACAATAAATACGAAAATAAGACAATCTACAAATCTCATTCTTCGAAATTTTTGCAACTACAAAATAGCACATCTATGAGAACATTCATCAAAACATTAAATTCCACATCTCTAAATACAAAAATCTCCTCGCAACATAATAACATGGTAATAAGAATAACTGCATAATTTTGTAATGAAAAGGTGAGCAAATCTTATGTTTAGAGCACACGGCAAAATCAATAACCAAGGCAGATTTCAGTAGATAAACGCCGTCGCGGCTATTTCGAATTTTCTGTCTTTCTAAACAAGAATGGCCAGCCGAGTAACTCAAGATCTGGCATGTGGCATAACGATTTTATCTTATATTTCATTGTTTAAGTCATCTGCTCTTTTAGCCAGTTTCCAACCCTATGATTGAAGCATTTTTGAAAGATTTGCCTTCATTGTATAAATTCACGCAACTCCACTGATAACATAACCAGAGAAAGATTTAGCTTAAGATTACATTCTTAAACATCTCTCTTTTAGCGAAAAATAACGAAATTATGCAGGACAGAAAAGAAAAAATCATTAACATTTCACCACGAGATTAGATAATTGACCATGAGATTAGATGATTCACCATGATTACAAATCTCCATTCTAAAATCTAGGGAATATTCACTATGTGTTATTTGATTTTGGACCGGCTATGAGAATGCGTCCTCTCTGCCCTATTTAGAACAATCTGTTATTTTCACTAGGCCTAGCAGATTATCAGGTTGCCTAAATTCACACATAATCACCAGGTTACGTTTTATCGTCTTGAAGACTTTATCTTGAACATGAATTGAAAAATGAGTTTATATAAACAGAATTGGACAAAATTTAGTATGAAATATAAAGCAGTCGCTTTTTCACAAAATGTGACAGTTAACTGTTGACATACACACACAAGTACAAAATCACCCTCTCAAAAGTACGAATTAAAAAGCATTCTACCACAACGTTACTCTACTTTGTCTACCACGCTAAAAATTCTAGAAATCAATCGAAACTAATTCTAAAAAACTGTCTCACACCATCACCTACTTGTCTATAAGAAAATCTTGATAATCTTCATCAGATTTTTGAAAGGGGGTGATTCTCCCTTCAACATCTCGCATCTTCATTTCGTACAATATCTTCAAAAAATAAAAGAAAACACAATTAGCCTGTGGAAGGGGAAACAGCAGACATGATGGTGTGAAACAGTCTTTTGATTGAAGTCTTGACTCACCTGAAGTGAATTAAAATATACAAGGATACCATAACCTTAAATGAATGGAAACCACCTTAACTTCTGATGAAAACCACCTTAGCCGAGGAATAAAACCACCTTAACTGGTAAATACATCCACCTTAACTGACGTAGAAAACCATTTTAACTCGATTCTTCATGTCATAGGCTCTTTGACCTAAATTTTGTTAACTGCTGCGAAGGAAAGATTATAGAATGCCATACAACGGTCAAAACAAACAATAAACAACTAAAATAATGCATAAGACAGCGCAAAATGCGAAGGATGGCACTAGACCTTTTTGTGAAGCAGAAGACCCTTGGTACACAATCCTTTTTAAAGCCCGTAATTAGCTGGTCCCCATTCCTGGGCTAAATTGTCCATGATTTCCGAGTAGTGCCTGTTTAATGAAGCAATTAGAACCTTAGTTTCGGATCGTAAACCGTACGAAGAAAGGTCGTTGGGAGTAGAAAAAGGGGCACGAGCAGGGACAAGCGTGAATAGTGAAGCAAATTAAAACGGAATTTTCTGAAAAGCCGCAAAAGAATTTTCTGAACAACCTACAATATCCCTTGTAATAGAAACCTTATCAATTTGTGGTAAAATATTGTTTGCAATGGTTACGGATTGTAACTGTCACAGAACATCTTGAGAAATCCTTATTTATGATAAAAACACTGACTTGTGTCTCTATTTTTGTGGCCTATTCTTGGCATTTGTAAACTACAAGTCAGGCTTTTGGTAACTAGACATGCTGTTTTAAAGGACATGCAGCTTTGACAACGTCGAGTAAAGAGAACGTTGTCAGAAATTGCTTTGACTGTTGAAAAATGGCGCATGAGGCAACAATTTGCCAATATTCTGCATCTCCAAATCAGTTTAGCATTGAAACCTTTTGTGTTCAAACAGAATTCAATAATGGATACTTAAACAACTACCACTAAATAAAACCCTAGCGTTTTCATGTTAGAGGAGATAGGCCCAGCCTTTAAGCCAATCATACTATAAATGCGAGCATACTGTCTGCACTGAGCAAAGATGGACTCTGGCTGTTATGAATCGTTTAACAATTTTGATTTATATCATCGTATTCTTGCACTTTATTATTTTGCAGCATTGTATTAAACATACATGTACTTGTCTTTACTTTCTTGATTACTTTTTAGATACCAGAAAATAATCACATGTACTTGATAAACTTGGGATACTCTCTTAAGATCTACAGACCAATGACGAGGGTCTATTTCTTGTGTGCTCCATCTGATGCCTCGAGCTACAAATATATGCAACCGATACACACTGCTTGCCAAAAGGCTTGGTACACTAATGTCAGTTTCCAAGGGCAAATTCAGCCACCCCCTCCCTCTTTGAATAATGTTGGTTTACTCTCCTCTTCCCTCTTTGAACGACGTAGGAGATTAGGAAGAACGTTGTTCTTGTAGTTATAAGTTGTCTAGATCATCAACATTGTTCGTAGAGTTGCTTCCACATTCAGTTGGTTATTGTCAATTATTAAGATATAAAGCAGATAGCTTACGAGAGATGATGAAATATTCATAATTTAATTCACTCCATTAACATCATCTATCAACGTTTAAGCGGTTTTATTTATAACAGTTTTATTGCACTCTTAATTTATATCTAACGCGATCGCCTATTCTATTTATCGATCTATATACAATCTCCAATCCATAACACTTATGTACAATTCAAAAATAAACTTTCTTTTAAACGAAAAAACTAAGTATCGCTAGCATGATATGCACGAGAGAAAAAAAAACCTCGATATGATCGATTTGTTATACCAGGGTTAGAGACACAATGGGAAATCAAATGGAACACCAGGGTGAGACGTGAAAAATAAATTATTCTAATGAACTAAGAAAATCTTCCATGCAAAGAAACTCTGTAAACAAGAGCAGCCTGAGGCGTCAAGTATTGAAAAAAGGAAATACAGGAGGATGGGTGCATTATTTTTTTAGAGGGGGTGCCAAACCACACGCAGCCGGGACGCGAAGAACTGCCTACCTTTTGTGTAATTTCATTACAAATTCTTGGAATTCTAACTCAAATCCCATCACCCATTTGGTCGACTGACAACTTCTATGAAACTCAGCGCAAGTAACAAGATGTAAGACAAGGACCTGCCCTATCTGACAAAGTGGCTGGAAAAAGACTAAACAGAACAGAAAGAATAAATGGGCATTTTAGTCTTTTTTACCTCAGACATTTGCAAAATAAACGAAAAGGGTGGAAGGGTCTTTGGGTGACTCGGTCACACCCTACGCTTTGCTGGCAACAGGAACTCTATAAAGTGTTGAAATCAGCAGGGAAGGAATTTTCAAACTCCTGATGTTTCAATCGACTCAGCCCAAAGTGTCTCAGACATTTCACCATTGTGCTCTAATATACCCAAGCTTGACGATGAAATTAAAAGAAATACTAAGTTCTATGTTGCTAATAATGATCGCTCGAATGTAATTGCACAGATGTCACTTCCGGCACATCGAGGTGCAGTAATGACACTATTCTAGCTATCTATCAATAAGTAACTTTTATCAAAATAAAATCCGATACCAATCTAACAAATGCCATTTAAGAAAATTCTAGCAATAATTTGCAAATATATTAACATAATACTATCTTTACTTTTGATGCCAATTCATCGTCGCCACAACACGCAAATGCTCATATACCAAAAAAAACTAGATCTGAACTATTAAAAAGAAAAATAAATTACAGACAATTTACTGATAAATAGCCGGTTAAATACAATATAATTCAATCTGATATTTATAATTTTTAATCTCGAGATGTCGATCTAATTCTTTATTATGCTTTATTTACCCCCCTTACCCCTTAACTCCATAACAGGCACTTATGGGCCTAAACACCTACATTTTCTTAGCAGGCAATTTAGTCTAATGTTACTGACACGGGGGTTAGTTCGTGGTTATTGACAACAAAAACAAATCAGATACAGCGCGAGTACGAGATTCGTCTATTGCAGCTTTCATCGTGACAGGTTTCATTAACCTGTGCTTTCACAGAATTCTGAGCCTGTCTACTTGTGTATCACGATACACAAAGCAAATTTCACGGTTGATTCTTATCGCTATACGCAGGGCAAATACGCAGTAGCAGAAATCTTGCTGGTGTTCGTACCTTACCGGACCTTAACATGAGATAATCCCCTACGTTGCAACGCTCCTCCGCATTCTGGCAACGGACGGGCAGGCATGTCAACACGTTATCCAATCAGTACACAGATCAAACTATTAGTTGTAAATACAATACCTTGTACGTAGTGAGCTACGACTTACTTTGCATCTAGCGTTTGTTGCTACTTTGTGCTTTTCACAAATCTTAATTTGGATTATCGTAATCTTAAACGAGAGTGATCCACTCCTAAAACTGTTTCTTCTACTGACTGGATCTAGATTCTAGACAATCTTCTAAAGGATCACTATGACTGCTATCTGACTATCACTAAACGGTTAGCTTTTCATTGTTTGGCTGAATCGATTCTTCCATGATCATCCTAAACGATGATATATAATAAAAACACCGATTTGAAGCTAAGAAGAAACCTTGCTTTGATTCTACGATATTATCGGTAACACATATACCGACAGTAACACATATATTCGTGCTAAAGATTTCTTGCACTATATGGTATGTCAAAGAAAATTGTGTGACGTCATAGCACTGCTGAACATGAAATTAGCAAACCTGACTCTTATACTAATTATAAGGTCTGCTGGGTTGAAACATAATTGCGATAAAGAAGTTTTCCACGAAATTTGCTTCCGTGAAATGAAAAACTTGCATCTTATGGAAAAAGCTTTTATGATTGTGTTGAAATAAAACTAAACACAGTTAACATCAAAGTCTGCATTCATTAAAAGAGATTGGTAAAAACTTTGTTTTGGGGTTTAACGCTCCAAGTTGTTTTGTTTGAATGAAGGGCATTTCAGTCTTTAAAAAGCTGATAGCAGTGCACTTGTAGATAGATTTACGGTACATACAGTCGAGAATTCCCTTCTCGCAGTCTGATTGGTGAAAAGACAAAGCAACAGCCAATCAATAACAAGTTCAGATTTTAACCGATTGGGTAGTAAGTCAAGTCGATGATTGTCGATCCGTAATGCAGACAATGACGTAGTGCAGGCTATGACGTAATGTAGACCTAGTAGTGCAGACCTAAATCACTTAGTACGTCGTGCGAGATTTAGCGGATAACAAAACTTCTAATAACGCCAACTGCATAATTAACTGTATGATCTATTATTGCTTAATTCACTGCATAATTTATTGCAGACTCAGGGTTTTTGGTTTGGCTAGGCCGCATCCAAGAAAGCAGCCGCCCGCAATTTTTGATATTTTCCCTTTGCGTTTCCGGTCAGCGGCGTCGTCGTCTGTGTCTCCAATCGGCCGGCCTATCAATTTTGCCTTGTCGCTCGTTCGATTATCGGACAATTGGTCCTCCACTAAATAAAGACAGAACACGTGACAAAGAAGGCGATTGATTCAGAATAAATCAAATCGAACCTCAACGCGATCGAGATTGAAATCAGCCCCTGGTTTTCAACCGATTTCAAGGAAAGCTTAACTACCCAGGGCTAGGGCAGAAAATTCTTTTGCCGAAACTGGAACTCAAGGATGTGAAATTCCTGCAAACTGCCCCTCCCCCCTCTTTGAAAAAGTTTGGTGTGAAACATTTGTTGTTTGGAAGGCAAAAGATGGCTCGACCTTCTTTGTACATGCTCTGCCTTCTAAGTGATTTGAATTGTTAATTTTGCTACACGAACATATTAGATGACTGATTTCAATGTCGATTAGCCGAGTTCGTTATTCATCAAGTTAGTTGTTCAATAATTATAGTTGTTCAAATGATAGAAATAGTTAATTGTTCATTATAACATTAAACTTGCAATAGCATTAAGCAATGTTAAAAATACTTGAAGTAGTTAATCATCAAAGTATTTGCCAGATACGTGGACTTAAGCATTGTGCATGATGAAAACAGGCCTAAATTATCTTGTGTCAATATAATTTTTATCAAGATGATTGCAATAGACACAATTATGAATGGATCGAATGAGTTTAGCAAACAAATGCCTTTTACATCAAAATTTTGCCATCCAAGCACTTTAAGCCTTTAAACAAACTCCAATACCAGTAGATCAACTGCGACTTCAAAAATATTACTTTTTTGTAGGAGACGGTTTCATACTAATTTCATTAACCTTTGCTATCAGATTTAGCAAATCTATTCATGGATTCAGTATCAGGAGCCCAGTTTTTGAAACCAGAGTTGTCATTTTCAGTAGAAGACCGCTGGAAACCAACATGTGCTTTGTTCCACCATGGTTGCTACTATAAATTGTCTTCCATACAGTTTAGAAGCATCGCAACATAATAAAACAAGAATCGCATCTATTTCTGCTTGGCGATGTGAAAAAACTTCCTGTTGATATATCCTCCTTTGGCCAATAGCTCTTCCTTTTCTCTAGTGATTGCCTAAAATGTCCTCAATTTGCAGTCCCAACACTATTCACCTTCCCGATTGATAAAAAAACATGAAGTCGACGGTGACGATCACGTGGCAATTGCCAATGCTTGTCAAGAATAACCACATACAAAGGGGTTTATCAAAGCAACAGCGTCCAATGCTCTTGTGCCCCTGTTTTTACCAATCTTGAAAGAAGCATCACGCGCACTGAAGCGAAAAAACTTCGAGGTTGCGGGAATCTTGACTTTTAAGCTACGCGAAGGATTGGTGACTATTGATAGGTTAAGAAACGGACCCAGTCAGTTGCACCATCCTTTCTTGAATTCTTCCAGACACAAATTTAAGTTCACCTTCTGGTAAAGACCCGACCTTTCACATAGAGAGCAGTGTCGCACAAGACGTTACTCTTAAAATTCATATCATTTTGTTACCACTTGTAGCAATTTTCAGCTTGTAGCAATGTAGCAAAGTTTGTGGTACCAAACGCTGACTTAAAAACCTTAAAACCAACTTAATGCTTTTTCAAGTGATTGTTACTTTTGCGCTTAAAAAGAACTTAATGTGATGATATTTCTGTCGTGTGGTAATGACACAATGCGCAAATTGATACTGTATGTAAAGGAAGTCGCCGGCTAAAGAAGGCAGCATCAGAGCCTAAGAATCGAGGACTGTTGTCGAAAAGTATAGCGTGGAAAATGAGACACGAATCCATCGAAATTCCAAAAGCCCGGAATTCTACTTGCCATGCCTTTACCTTTTCTTTCCTAGCTGTGAACAAACTTCGGAGTTTACATTTGCTCTGTAAGAATGAACACTTTACCGTGTTCTAAACGCATGCTTCAGAGACATCAAATTACATTCGAATGGTAGCAACAAAAAAGGTAAATTGATGAAAGGTTCATAAAGTACTTACAATTCATTGTTTGTCTTTGTCTCGCACTGAAGCAGTAGGCCTCGATTACGCTTAGAATCATCATATCCTCTTCAAGAATACTTGTGTCTGAAACTGTAGAAATTGCTTCTATTATTTACATATGTAATGACGTCACAATAAGCCAAATCTGTCCCAGGCCCCAGAAGACTTTTCAGTGGGCCTGCCTGTTGGGGCTCACGACCCTGAATGTTTGTATTACGAAATGTAAATTGTAAATAAAGACAATAATGTGTAAGTCGAAAGAGTCGAAAGTATTGAAAAAACTATTTACAATATGAATTTATCAAAACTAAATAAATAATTACAATCCAATTCATAATAAAAAGAGAAAAAGAGGAAAAAAGAAAAAAATGTAAAGAAACGAACCATGCGAGGTAGTTTTTTCGAAGATTGACAAAAAGCTACTTGCAGGGGGGTAGTGCTAGGGGGGCTCAGGGGTGCTATTGTTTGTCTCAACATATTGTGCAAGACTATCAGTGAGATTAACTACCGGTAAGACGGATAAGAGCTGGAGTCCTGGATATAAACGACGAAAGGAGAGAAGAGAAAGATCAATGAAACATAAGCATAAGGTTGACTCGAGATTCGCGAAAGAACAAAATCCAATCAAAAATACAAGAGTAGCCTGTTTACCTCCAGATAGCTGCGATGCGTTTGATATATCTCTTCGTAACGTGTTTTCTTTCTTGCTAAGGGTGTCGCGTCTAGAGCTGGTGTTACTTCGACTAGGTGTGTAAGCATCTAATGCGTCATCTTCGCTTTTCGATCGAACTAGAAACAAAATAAAAACAAAATTATATTGAGCAATTACACACTGGAAACAAAATAAAATTACACGCTGGAAACAAAATAAAAAAAATTATATTGAGCAATTACACACCCGTATAATAACGACAGCAAACTTATATTGGTCATAGATTAAGATTGGCCTAGGAAGGAGTTAAATAATAAACAATTAAAAATCGTATTTAAGTAACTTGGTACCTTTGTCGAGTTTAAAAACCATAATCAAAACAACAAACATACAATATCATAATTTGTTCTTATTTAAGAACACACGGATCTCATAAAAACATTGGCTCAAAATATCAGTGACCGAAAAAAATTAAAAATGAGGTCAATGAATACACCAATTGCATATCCGCGGCCTCATATCCACGCGGAGGACTGGACCGAGTTTTTGGGTGAAAAATTTCACCCACAACAAGAGTGCCGTTGAGTTCAGGGTGTTTTGTTGATGGTGATCGCTGGTGGCTGGGAAATTTTTCGTGTTTTTGTTATATTTTCGACAATTTACCTCACCAACAGGAACAAAATTTTTTCAAGACTCTAGCAATTACTTGTCCTAACTCTTATTGGAGGTTTAGGCCCACATCAGTTTCCAGAAGTGACGATGGATTTCGATTTACTTTCAAAGATGAAGGTTGAAGAACTGAAGAACTTTCTCCGCCTTCGTGGATTGAAAGTCAGCGGAAAAAAGGAAGAACTTGTCGCAAGAGCCTTTGTTGCTATCGAAAATAATGTGCAGGTTGTGCAAACTGCTGAAGAAGTTGAAGCTGCTCTTGGGAAACAATATAGCAGCAAACTCAATATTTTTGTTTCGGACGATCTTGGAAATCATGTTATTCCAGATCCCTTGAAGCTGGATGAGGGGTGGATTTGTGAAAAGGAAGGGGTGAAAGATTGGCCAAGCACACTGTACCCCGATATATTCCACTTCTTGGCTTTTCATCCAAGTGAGCTTTCAAGCAAGGATTTATCAGACTATAAAACGTCAAAAGGGTACAACTACTATGAAGAAGGATGGTTAAAGCCACTCAGCTTCCACAAAATTTCTGATGATAGCCCACTTTGTTCACTAAAAACAACATGTAGACCCTCACAAAAGCTTTCTGACGTGCCACATAAGTTGTGGGTTTGTCTAGAGAAAGCTACAGGGCGCATTATGGCTGCACATTGCTCATGCATGGCTGGAATGGGTCAAACATGTAACCATGTAGCAGCTGCATTATTCAGGATTGAGGCGGCTGTAAGAATGGGACTTTCCAACCCAGCATCCACTTCAAAACCCTGTGAGTGGCTTCCAAATGCTAAAGATGTGAAACCGGTGAAAGTCAAAGACTTGAAGCTTGTTCGGGGAAATTTTGGCAGAAGGGGGCAAACTTTGAAGAAACTAAATTCATCTCCAAAGAAAAATTATAAGCCAATAATTAACTTTGAAAGTTCCCTGACATTAGCTGATGTTACAACAGCCTTGAGATCTGTCTGTGAGGAAAAAGATTCAATCATTTTCACTTCAGAACTTAAAGAAGACAAACTAGCCAATGCAAATATGACAGGGAATTTGCTTTCAACATTTGATGATGTCCTAGCTAGCGTAAAAAATTTAAATGAATTTATTTCCAAATTGGAATATTTTGCGGACCATAAGGAGGAAATTGAAAAAGCAACAAGAGGACAAAGTGACAATGCTTTTTGGTTTTCAGCTAGGAAGCACTGTATAACAGCTTCAAAAGCTCATGATGTAATGAGTAGGATGGTTACTTACAAAAGAAATTTTGAGGAAACAGATTTTATTTCAGTCATAGATAAAGTATCTGGGAAAACACATTTAAACATGGATTTGCCTGCAATTAAGTATGGCCGAGCAATGGAAGCAGAAGCCGTGGCAGCATTCTTTTCCACATACTCAAAAGAGCACAAAAATGCAAAAATATTGGATTGTGGTCTTTTCCTATGCAAAGATGTCCCCTTTGTTGGAGCTAGTCCTGATAGAATAATTGTATGTGACTGTTGTGGAGAGTCATGCCTTGAAGTAAAGTGCCCCTTTTCAATCTCCCATACTAGCCCAACTGATCCCAATGTACGCTTGCCATATTTGATGCTGAATGAGGACTCCACAGTCATGCTGAACAGGAAGCACAAGTACTTTACCCAGTGCCAAGTACAAATGGCTGCTACAGAAATGACAAGAACCTACTTTTTTGTTTGGACTTCACATGGAAATTTCACAGAAAAACTTTATTTTAATAGGGGCTTTTGGAGTGAAACACAATTATTACTGAAAGAGTTCTATCTGTCAAAATATATTCCATATGTGTTACAAAAATAAATGAGTTTATTTGTAATCTAGTTAAAATTCAAATCAAAATGAGTATTTAGTTGCTAATTATACTTAAAAAAACACAAAATTAAGTCTTTCCACTGTTAATCATGTTGATTAAGCTTTAATTAGAGGTGGCTGAATATTACAAATTGCAGCACATGTTCTCATAATATCATCAGCAAATGGAAGTACTGTAAGTGGTAAAGTGTTCTTTAAAATCCTGAAAGTTTTTATTCGGTTGATTGCTCTCTCAACATGGATTCTTAAGTTGGCAATCTCTTTAGTTTTTTTGCATTCCCTTTCTGTCATCTGAGACTTGACCCTTGCTCCAGGTGGGACATACAAAGTACAGTAGAAATGAAGCAGATCATCTCTTATCTGAAAACCTCGATCTGCCATAATCTCATTGCCATACTCTAGCAAATTATAAAATCCACTGTCTCTACATATGTGTTGGTCAGTAGCCCTTCCCCCATAACCATTAGAGACAAAGGAAATAAATCCAGATGGAGTAATTCCAATCAAATATTTTATTGTGTTATGTTTCTTATAATCTGACCAGGTTGCTGCCTGGTCATCAAGTGATTTTGGTCTTTCAATATAAATCTCTGTGCAATCAATGATGCATCTTGTCTTGCTGTGAGCTCCATTGAAAGCATGAGGCAAATTTGTCTGTATTACTTCACTTGGAAGCCATGAAATTAATGCACCTCCTAACACAGTGCTCAAAAATCGAATCCATGTGCAAAATATTCTTGAGCAGCTTGAGGAAGATATCTTAAATCTATCTGCCAAATCATCAAGTAGTGAGCCAAGCCTTAAACGCATCAATACAAGCAAAAATTGATCTTTCTTTGTCAGTTTATGTGATTTTGTTCTTTTCTGTCCATGTGTTTTGGCTTTGTGAGAAAATATGGTTTTTGATCCTCTCCAAAGAACCAAATTTGGCATATATGGCTTCAAAACTGAAAACAGTGCATGAAACATCTTTACAGTCTGAATGCCAGTGAAAAACTTCATCTTTCTATCTATTTTAATGCAATCTGCTGACATTCCCAGTGACTTAGCTTGCCTTTTCTCCAAAGTGCAAGATTCAAGCTCACTAGAAAGCTTATCAACAGCCACTTTGAGGTCGTTGTTTTCTTTAGTGATGGCTGAAATTTTTCCCATTAATTCCTTGACCGAGGGTGTTCCTGAGTCATAAGGTTGGCAACCCTCCTCATTGCAAGGACTTTCTAGGACATTGAAGATCTCGTGGTCTGACCTTGGCCTATTGTGTTCATCATCATCGGCAACACAAGCAGTTGAAGAACTTGGTTGAGGCTCCGCAGCTCTTCTAACCAAGGTTCTTCTTGGTCTTTTTGCTGGTTTGTCATAACCCAAATCTAAAGAAGGGTTAGGGTTAGCCAGAGTTGGTCGCCCGTCAACGAAATGTCGTGAACAAACCATGTCGCTCTGGCCAGGAGTCCACTCTTTGTTCCCCTTTCTTGTTCGGCGCATTAGTCTTGTCCATTCCTTTCTCTTCTCCAAATTTAGCTTAATGCTCGGAAAAACATGTAGTGTAAATGGGCGAGCACAAGGACAATCTTTGTGTGGCTGTCCTGAGTGTTCATCGCAGCTACTTTTCTCCCAATTTTTGAGTTTGTATCGACTGTTCGTACAACCAATAACTGCACAATTTCCATTCACCATCTTTCGTGTTGCTAGACAGACAACTAGAGTTACGACAGGTATTTGCTGGAGCTTTGAAAATTTATCCTCCCCTTATTACAGACTGCACTACTGGAGATAAACAACGAAAATGAAACAATCAGGACTCGAGAAATCTCCCAGCCACCAGCGATCACCATCAACAAAACACTCCTTACACAACGGTACGCTTGTTGTGGGTGAAATTTTTCACCCAAAAACTCGGCCCAGTCCTCCGCGTGGATATGAGGCCGCGGATATGCAATTGGTGTATAGATAGGTTTGCGGGTCACATGTAAATCCATCGTCTTAGTTAGGCCATAGAGAAAGTGATCTCAGATATCGTAACCAAAGAGTCGATGTTAAAAAATTTGAATAGGTCTGATAATACATAACCCATCGCAGTTGTAAATTAATATTGTTAAAGAGCAAAGTGGGTTTTTGCATTTGATATGCCTTACGAGGTGAAATTTCATACGTCGGACCCTGTTAATGAGATGACAAAGAATAGATTCTGTTTATTGTAGGATATCAATGGTTTCTCAATGGTGATAGAAATACGAGAACATTACTGGGTTAGATTTCTGCAAAATTTGATTTGCGAATATAATCAAAAGGACAATTTCGTTCGCTTGTTCAGAAATACCCAAGTCACAGGTATCACCAAAGGACCTGTGAAACTACAAATTATTAATTATATCAGGCAAATACACTTGAAAATTCAGTTTCAAAATATGCATTAGTTTAGAAACTGATGGAAACCTGTTCATATAAAAAATATTCTTGCTTAAATTTCTCTTTGAACTCAAAGATTGTGGTTTAGTCGCAAGTTTCATTGTCAAGTCGAAACCCAGAGGGGTTCACTAGAACTTTCTGTATACAGGGGGGTCCATCCGATAATTGTGGGTAATGATTTTCATTGTAATCTGATATTTTGGGTGCCTGATTTAACAATTTACCTCTTTGATACTTCTGGATGCAACTAACACAACAATATCAAAAACAGCAATAAAAGATCAGATATGTTTAAACTGATTATTATAACAAACAATATAACTTACTATGACTTTTGGTCTCTTATGTGCTCAACAACAAGATTTTGTATTTGGTATTTTTGGGTCTTATCGACACTTTTTAGCTAATAATTATGAGTCTGCTAATTTTTTTGAATAATTTTAGGCGATTTTTTGAGTGACTTCCCTGGGAGTCGAACAGGGAGCAGGGGTGGCGATAGGTGAAAAAATTCAACTTGATAAGACCACCTTCAGGAAAATGACATTTGAAAGAGCAAATACATATTTAAATACCTCACCTTTATTGACTCTTTTCGAAGATACTAGCCGTCTCATAGTTCTAGGGCTTGTCACAAAATCCTGGACAAAATCGATAAATAAATGAAACCAAAATAGGTGCCGTGGCCAAAAATAAAAAAAGGGAAAAAAGAAAAGATAAAAAAGTATTTTAAATGACATTCGAAAGTCTTATTTACGAACAAAAGCTGATATAATAATAATAAATCACATCTTGAACTAATTGAAGCAGATCATTTACACTTAAGCCAAAAGAAAACATCAAATCATATTGTGGAAACATGACGACAAAATTAGAAGAAATTTTATGAAATTTGCTCACATCGCAGGTAAAATACACTTAAGCCAAAAGAAAACATCAAATCATATTGTGGAAACATGACGACAAAATTAGAAGAAATTTTATGAAATTTGCTCACATCGCAGGTAAAATACACTTAAGCCAAAAGAAAACATCAAATCATATTGTGGAAACATGACGACAAAATTAGAAGAAATTTTATGAAATTTGCTCACATCGCCGGCTTTCAGTCGACTAAAATTTGGTTGCCAGGGTGGTGTTGGACGAAGTCGAGTAAACGACCAATTTTGAGCGACAGGGGGTTCTTTCTTCTGCAAGCTGTGAAGGCCTCCATATCCCTTCTTTGCTCCCTACGAGAAGATTTTACTTGTCATGGAAATACAGAAATCAAATATGTTTTAATCAACACTACAAAATATAGTTTTTATCTTTATAACTTTCATCCCCTTTATAAGCAGTGGTCGACAAAAAAAGAAAACTAGAAAAAGAAAACCTGTTGAAAAACAAAGATTTGAAATTAATATAAAACTATTATGATAAAAGCGTTTCTTACGAAAATAGGAATACAACTGCTGCGAAATTTATCCTTAACCGCAAGCTGTAAGTCCATTTTCAGTGCTTCCGCGACAAACGGCAAATTGAAGACGTAGCACAGGTTACAAATGATTCATTTGAAGATTGGAATACAAATTCAAGTGTTAGGAATAATTGCCTGAAATTAATAGCGATTAGCGTGCAAAACAAATGCAATTTTGCCACAAAATTATTCCTAACTGGTAAGGGAAATGGCCAATGTATTTAAATATTCAACGGACTGTCCCATGGCTAAATCATGGAACGGATCAGCAAGTGGGAATCTTTTCGATTCTACACGTAAACGGTCCATGGATTTTCGAATTATAGAAAAGTTAATAATTTCTAACCAGAGAGGGGAAAAATAAACGTTTGCAACCGTACAGCATGGATCCTTCCATGATATACATTTGTGGGACAAGAATCCGTAAACCATTTCTTATGAGCACTGAGCAGAGCAAACATGCCTTTCTCCTTGCATATTCCATGGCCCAATTCCTATTCTGGTTTTTATCAAGAATCGAATAGGCTATTTCGCGTGCCAGGTTTCGTGAATCGCTGATGAATGCAAATTCGAATGCCTTGGCAGGACGTGTATAGTAAAATATCAGTTTAGCGCGCACAGATCACCACCGTTGCAGGTTGCTGGTATCCAAATAGAATTGTGCATCCCAACATATGATACAGGGAATCATACACACGCAAACCGAGCCCGTTCCTGTTTAACAAACATCATCCCTGACGAAGTTTCCCCTTTGTATTGAAGGAAGTCTCTAGTAGCTAGCAGGCACACGAAATCATTTAGGAATGCTACCTTAGCAAAATCCACTCGCACTTGAAAAACCAAAGTAAATACTTTATGTATCTCTACAGCTGGTAAAATTTTTAAGCTGAAAAACAAAGATATATTAATCCTAAGGACCTACGCACTTGACAAAAACAAATGAATATGATAAAGAGAAATAAATCTATAAGAGTTTATGAGATAATTAAGGACTAGCTTTATAAGATTATATATTTAGTGCTAGGATGTCACAAAGTTACTTGTTGAATGACGTCAAAATACTTGAATGCTCTTGAAATTGAAACAATCCATAACAAATTAATGTAAGTCGCTGAAATGGCTTCCATAGTTTTACAAAGTGGGTTTTATTGTTAAAATGCAAAAGTTAGCGGGACACTAAATATTATACAGGAGCGGTAAATTTTGTAACGAAAGCTATCTATATTAATCATTTTCAATTTAGAAAATAAATAAAAATCTGTAAGTGTGGAGCGAACAAAATAAGAAAATTTAAATGATAAGTACTTGGGAAGGGATTCACCCTTCCATAGAAAGACTGGTGCAGGTACAAAGTACTTTGTCGGTGGAAATACATATCTTAATATATTGTACATATACGGGATTAAAATTGTGTCGTATGTATAAACTGCTAATGTCATACAATTTTAGACTCCCGAGTTTTAGGTGAGAAAAGTTTGAGCACATCATATTTAAAAAGAAATGAAACACCTATATACTAGCATCTTCGATGTAAAATTTAGTAGGTAAAATTTTCAGGGTAGTTAACTTTTCTTGAATATAATAATCATTTTCCTAGCTTATCATATAACAATTAGGAGTCTTATACTAAGAACGTGCCTCTTATTTCTTTTGAAAAGAATTAGTTTCTGTTAGACACTGTCAATGAGAGAATTACCTTGTATGAGAGAATTAAGAATTATAGATAGATAGGCTAGCCTCTATGTATAAAATATCTAAATATGTAACTTTCATAAGATCACAACAAAATTATCGAAAAATGAAGGCAGAACAAACCAGGCATCCGAGGCAGCCAAAAATGCCTACAGCGTTTGACAGTGAGGCATAATCCTCCGCAAAATCGTCTATACCAACTGGTTTCATCGGCGTTCCTCGCTCGTACAGTGTCAGTGATAAAGATATATTGCTTACAAAAATCTTTGATCGATAACTTTAATTAGAAAACCTCTTACTGCTTGATAAAAATACCACAAGTCATTGGAGTGATATTTCAACTAACGTTAATTGAAACAAGACGATGTCCTTCAGTAAACTTGACTCTTCCGACTACGTGGAAACATTCCGACTACGTGGAAATTCGCAAGACTTAAGCTGATAAAACTGCCGTCCTCTCTGGAGAAATTATCGAACACAACAACACTGCAGTTCAAATTGTACAAAATACTTCTGATTCAACGTGATAAAGTTCGCTATTTCCTTGACGATTTTCTTGATTTCCTGAACCAAGCCACACCGAAACAACATACACTTCCGTGATGTGAAAGTCAAGTAAAACCTGAAACAGCCTTTGTTTTCAACTTAACAAGGAGGTGAGAAACCAACGCCATCTAACCGAAAGACTGGAGTTTATTTTTGCCAGACGGAGTGACGGTATCCAGGATTAAACTGCCAATCACCGGTGACGCAGAGCAAAGAGGCTTGTCCTAACGTAAACTACAAAATTGGCGTAGCTTACCAAGATATCAAATCCAACAAAGAATCAGACCAGAAGTTTCTATATAAAGTTCTTACTTAAGATAGACCTGTAACTCTTTAATCCCAATACACTGACTCACGACGATGATAATAAGCGGGGGAGTCCAGGTTCCTATAGGAAATTAATCGTACACTGATGACTCATACAATCCCTGCGATAAATATAACGGAAAACTTAATCCCGTTTTTCTCCAAAAAAGAGTCACAGATAACAATTCTTTAATAAAATGAGTGCACGAGCAAGCACGACCACAATCAGGGACGCCTACAAAAGATTAGGTCAGGAGGGGCAGTGTTGGTGCTGAGGGCAAATCGAAGAATTTTTCAAAGTTTTAATACCGATCTATTCTTCTTTGGTATCTGGAGTACTTTCGAGGGAACAAGACTTTTGTTGATCTACTATTATCTTTGCCGCTCTCTCTCTTATGGCCCACCTTGCCACAGACAAACTTTTCAATCTTTGCGTTTTGTGCTGGTGTTTTAATTTTTCTAATATTTTCTGACAGAAACTAACATAACGAGAGTGGTCAAAGTGGTCATCAATTATTGATAAGATTCTATAAAATTTTCTTATATTTCAGGGCTGTTGCCCCTCCAGCCACCCCCCCCCCCGGGTTAGACGGCCCTGATCACAATTCTTACTAACTCACTTAAGTGTGTTATTTTAGAAGCAAGGATGCAATGCCCATGTTTATTTTGAAGATTAAAATAACAACAAGTGAAATCAGTAAGTAAATAAGGTTAGAAATGGGATTCAAAGATTCAAAGAAAGGAGAGCAGCTTTTTAAGAAAAAAGCATACATTAGAAAAGAGATGTTGGGCAATGAGATGCCTAACCAGGGTCTTTTTGAAGGAAATTTGACTAGTGGGCTAAAAACATACGAGGGCCCCATTCCCTTCGCAATCAGCTTTGGTTTGTTAAAAAAGATGCCTGGAATATCCTGTCAAAGGCAACTAGAGTAATTTGAAAACAGACAGACTGACTTGTGACCATTTACATTTTGATAAAAAAAATTTCTCAGAAAGGAGCCCAAACTGGTGGGCCCAAACTTTAAATGTTGTTTTTTACTAGCCCAGGAAGTGAGCTAAAATAAGCTATGTGCCTAACAAACCCTGGCCTTAAATTTGGAATATAGCACTACGAGACACGGGGGCACAAATTCTTTTTGTCAAAAGAGAAGTGAAGAGATAAGAAGAGAAATTAATAAATCCGTGATTTTAGGTACACTCTCTCTTATCATATGATACAGATGGTTTGGCAAGAAGGCTAGTATCATCCAGCTTGGTACCATTATTATCTGGTTCATCCAACTGCAGCTTACTAAAAATTCACAGGCTTATAGACCCCATAAGTGACGATATGAAAAAATAAACTTAATTGAATTTTTTACCAATCTTTTACAAGGATTTGTCATTTTCAACTTCATAAAACACGGATTGTGATTCTACAATTTTTTACTGGCCAACATCAACAGCAGCTTTTGTCTTCAGACAGATCTCCTGACCTCAAGACATTTTTCATCTTGTTGCAAACAGGGAAATTCCTCAGGAATCAAACACCTACAGATTTAATGTTTCAGACCGGAAAGGAAATCTTGTTCACAATTTTGTTTCCGTTTTTTCAAATAACGAGCAAGGATCTTTATATATCAGTATATTTTTACTACAAACAAAGCATCTATTGATATTGATTCGCATTAACAGGCCGCTTGCTTGAGCTATCCTGAGCTATATGATCTTCAGAGTAAAGCGCTGTGTGGGTTTTCTGAAGTATGACCTAAAGGCCTTGGCCATTATCAGGCCTGGCCATTTGAGGAGAGCCATAGCTCTTGCTCCCCTCCAGGCTCTCCTCAAACGCGGGAGGGGAGCTAGAGATTGCTCTCCTAAATTGTTCTAAAAGCAAATTTGCTCTCCTTGAAATCAATTTTGCCTTTGTTTCTATTCTTATAGCTCACCTGAATACTACTAGGAGAGCTGTTTACTGCTCGCCTGTTAAAAGTCTTACGGCCAGGCCTGCATTATAGTCGTTGTGGCGAGAACCGTGATGGAAGTGACAAAAGTCTGCTTTCAGCTTTCTCTAAAACAGCAAAGCAAGTTTTGTAACTGAGACACATAGTAATTTCTTTAATCTCAATTCCTTTCAATGAAAGAAAGATCAATTCTATGACCTTACTCTCCTTTCACAAACAATTACATTCTAAGGCCACATATTTCCAAAGTAGGCTAAATTTCTAAGATTTCATTTCACTTCAGCCTTGATGGATCATATTCTTACTTCATACAAAGACATTCAATGGCCGACTGAACACAGTAGCTAAAGGGCAGGGGAGCACAGACCATAAGAGCTGAACCCGTTGGGAATTTCCCTCTAACAAAAGCTCCGACACTAGCTGGAAATTAGGGGAGGGCAAAGGAAAGTTATTGACTCATAACAAAATATTTTGCAAAAACGCGCTTTTGTTTAGCAAAAAAGTGGAGAGGAGGCTATAGCCTCTCTTGCCCGCCCCCTTGTCTTGGAAGGTGAGTTTACAATATGAACCTGATTAATACCACGGTTTAATGTATTGCTTGCAAACAACTAATGAATCGCTTAATGAATTGATATAAATCAGCAAAAAAAGAAAATGAAGAAGCCCGCCGCCCTTATTTAAAGAAAAAGCCACCACTGGCTGAATATATTTAGCATGAGTTCAACTCAGCTCGTATTCACAATAAGGACTTTATATACAATGATATATAAAAACTTGAAATGAGAAAAATAAACACTGAGCAAAAAACCTACTGAACGTTTATTATATTGATGTATTTTGTTGTATTTATCAGTGAGTGCTTTGGGTGAACATTGCTTGATTATTGCTTATTGGACAAAGGAATTCAGGTGTACAGACTACAACCTGTAAACTGATAGAGAACTTCTCGAGAGGTTTTTAAATACAAAACCAACAATTCGTATGAGTGTAAGCCCTGCGTGACTGATACCAAAAAAGCCCTATTTAAAGGAAGCATTGATTTAACAAAAAGCAACCTTCAGTGCTAGATGCTGAAAATCCTCTGCTACTCACGTCCTTGCGAGAATTTCTTAAAAACTATTGAATGCCTTGGCAATCCTTTCAGTTTCACAAACCAATTTCCCGTTTTCTTTATTTTTAAAAACAAGCTACTATACGGATTATACATTAGGCAGGAAAAAAGCTGATTTTTCTTTTATCAATACCAAACCCTCCATGATGGAAAGTAAATACATCATGGACAGTTTTTTTATGCTCGTCATCACGAGCTGGTAAAGGATTTCCCAGAAAACTGTATTTTACGCCCCCAACATAACACACAACCCCTTTAGCAATACGACGGATTTCTGTAGCATTCATTTTCACCTTTGTTATTTGCTCTAAACAGAAACATTTGAATATGATGTGTCTTTCTACCATATATGAAGATTGAAACAGTAGCTTGACGTTTTAAAATAGTAATTTTACACCTTCCTCGTATATTCCATAAACATTCCTCTATAAAGCCTGACTTACAAGAGGTGAATTTTTCGCGGGAAGAGAATATTTCGCCATGATATTTCTAGCTGCGAACTTTTCTCTCGAATTCAAAGTTCAATTTACACTGGCAGAAATTTTCATGCGAATTCGCTGGAAAAACTGCAAAAGAATATAGCGACTGTCCGAAGAGTTCTGTTATCAGAAAGCATAAAATTTATAAATAATTATATTGAAAAAGAGAGCAAAACATAAAAAAATTTGCATTTTCATGACCAGCAAAACTTGCACAAACATGTGAGATCTTGTTAGTGCATCTGCATCGAAAAGATCTTGAGTTTTTTTAGACTGAAAATGTCTTCGTCGAGCAGGCAAATAAGCAGCCAACAATAAAGCCTTTTGAAGAAATTCTTGCCGATCGTTTATTTCTGACAAATTGGTAGAACAATGAAACTTTCAAGCCAGTTTTCGTCAATGTGAAACACAAATGTTTGAATAATAATCTGGTATGAATCCACTTACATGGATTGTGTTACGAGGGACAGGAAATTAATAATTATCAATCGATTTTGTCCACGTTGTGTAAGTGAGTGTTTGAGAAAAAATGCGGAACGGCGAAGACGTAGGCCATCAGGAACCAAAACAGAAGTCAGCTGTCTTAAAAGGCTGTTCTAATTTATTTATTTCACAACTCGAAAAATTTTGCAGCCAGTAAAGGTAGGATTGTTTCTACTTTTTTCGAAGCGATTTATTCGCCGCGAATTCACAGGGAATTTTCTAATCTCTGATTCTGTGCATATTTCTCGCACATTCGCAGTGAAAGATTCGCTTCGCACGAAAAAATTCGTCGTGTAAATCAGGTTTAACAACCACACAAACAAACAAACGCAATCAAAAATAGGGGTGAAAAACTTACCGTATCTTCATCATGCAGCGGTGCGAATTCAGTGATTGGTTTCCGGAACGAAGGTCGATGGACGGGTCCTGTCGATCCTGTGCTGTAACTCCTAATAATTTGTTCGGTCGGCTCATTACCCCATCGCGGCATTGACTGGATCTCTCGCCGCTTCGCACTTTCCGTTCTCTCTAGCGTCACAGTTTTTCCTTCGCGCGGCACATCGTAACTATACCGATCACCTAGCTTCTCTTTCAGTGACGTTATCCACGCGTCCTTTTCACGTGGTGTTCCCATCATGATCTTCCATTTTTTGCCTTCGACTTTGGGCAAACAGAAGAAAAATTATTACTTCAACCAATTCTGCATAATAATGAAATAAGGGTTGATAACGCTCAACGTCTTCTTGGAACAAAACCAAATCACAGGATATCATACAGATATAAAGAATGGCGTTACACGTGACAACTTCGAAAATTGCCCAACCACAATTACTTTCAACAATTCAAAGGTGATACACTGTCCTCATCTTGTTTTTTATAATCGATTGCATCTGTTACGGAGCTATGTCTAAGGGACAAAACAATTTTACAAAATACTCTAGGAAATGGAGTGGATCAAGAGAAGGCTGGAGTTATGAAATGGCATTAAACTTCCTTTCCAACCAGTTACACAAACAGATAATATCAACTAGACTTTGAGCCAACTAGCGAAACTCGAATACCTTTAAGTTCGATAGCATTGAAGAATTCCTCTGTATCGTCAATGTTTTTTGCGGTGATATCAGCCAGCTTGTGTCGTTCCTGGAGCAAAATAACAACAAATTGCAAATTTGATCCATTGAGTGCAAAGACAAATTTTTTATTGAAGGAGCACTTTTACTATCACAGAGTCAGAGTCGGCACAGAAACGACTCTCGAATAGGCTCTGGCCAAATTATTGTTCTAGCAACCATGGGAAAACCTGGTAAGGGGTTCATTTGATCAAGACAAGTTTACATTAGGTTTACTGTGAAGAGAGAAGAATTCTTAAAAACATTTCACACAGCAGATATCTTTAGGTTTGAAAGATATTTTCGATTAACTAGCGAGCACAGAAATTACTTATATTAAAAAGGAATGATTTACAAATACCCACCTCAAAACAATAGCCAACCAGCTCGACACTCACAAACAGGACAACAAGCTCTTCGGGAAACAGACAAAAATATCTTTCTTTTCGCTCCTGTAGAAAAAAATAATATTACCATAAAGTTATGAAACACTTTGGTGAAAATTCTGCCGTAAAATTCTTAGTAAAAAATAATCTCTAAAGATCTTTGGGACATGATCAATATGAATAAGGAGGCCTAGAATTGACACAATTATGACAATCAAAATTAGAAAAGTGAAGGGGGGGGGGTTCTCCCAGGAAGCTACTGTTATCAAGAGAGGAGGGCAACGGGTGTGCAATGCTAATCCAATGCAACATGGAGGTAGTAAACTCCCGGAAACCTATTTTAGGGAAGATTGCAGATACTAAGAGAATGGAGCATACCTACAATTTTAGATAACCGGGACATAGTGATGGCATCTCAATGACAGCAATATACAGCACAAAATCGTAAAACGTAATTTGTCAATTACAGAATGTAAACAAGTGCTTGGTCGCTTGAAAACCTAGCGGCCTCGCTCTCAAACTTTCAACAACAAAACGCAAAAGGCGGTTAATCTATACCCAAAAAACTAAATTATTTCGATATATTTATATAAAACTGTCAAGAATTGTGTCTACTACAAACTAAGATCCTCTCCTTCTCGAGAAAAGAAAAACTTCCAAACTTTTTAAGATCAAAATGAATAAGAAGTTAAAACTTCCATTCACACTACGGCAAGGATGACATATGAAAATAGGAAAAAGTAATTCTATGGAAAACTTCAAGCAAAGTATTTTTTTCAAATAAAATGCAAAATAATGGCACCCACCACATCTTCTTTCTCCACAAACACTTGGGTCATTAGAATGATGTTTCCCAACGATGTGATGGGCTGAAAACCACAAAATTACGAAAACTTAATTAAAAAGGATGAATAAAATGCTTTGTGACTGGTCGAGCGGAAAAAGGATGGCATTTGAAATATCAAGAGTAGAATGCTATTTGAAAATATTAAACCAAGAGCAGTTTTTCAGAAATAGTACCTATTAAGCATACCAGCCGAGTTATCTTTAACGGTCCGTTTGTTAGGATCTAAAATCATTAAATTTCTACTAGCCATCCCAGATAGATAAATAAATCTATTTCCATGTACTTGAAGTTTTCAAATCCTCAAAATCAATAGGCATGTACATTTTGTGAGCAAAATTGCTAAAGTATTACAATGGTTCGACGAATTAGTAATAGGAACAAGGTTGCCAACAGATTGATCATCAAAAACACATCTGTGAAGCCATTAAGGTGACAGTCTATAGTTAAAATTTTGCAACAGTGCCGCCATTTCTGCTTCAGATTTTGCAACACTTTTGCTCACCAAGTGTATGTATAAAGTAGATCGTATTTATAACTAAATTTATTCACTTTCTTAAATTTATTATAAACCATATAATTTGTCATTATATTCACCATTTTCATATATTTAAAAACCATTAATTTATTCAAGATTGCGATGTCTATTCTGAGTTATCAGTGCTCGATGTCCAAAAGCACAGAGCAATAGATATGGTAGAAGATGGCTAAAAATGAGACATGTTTCCTGTTACTCCGAGTTTCGTGTTTGTGCACTCATCAGACAGACTACCTGATGAGTGAGCAAACATGAAACTCGGAATAACAGAGAACATGTCTCATTTCTAGCCTATCTTCTACTAAGCCATTAATTTAAATATTCTGTAATTATATATCATGTAAATATTTACATATTTAAATATCATAAACTATACCTCTCCCTCCCATCCTTCGATTGTGCCAGTCAACATCTCCAACTCCATCTCCTTGCGTTTACGTGTTTCATTACAGCCAAGCTGGAAATAAATTCCGCATAAATGACTAAAGTTCATCTACAAGATGTCATAAGAAACTTTGTTTCGTTCAGCTTTCATTCCAGAAACTACGTAGTACTAAAAAATCTTTGAGAAAAGCGATTGTTACTTGGTGATGACAATTTGAGTTTTGACAATCTCATTTAAAATACTATTGTGAAATTTCCAAACATGTTATTAGGAATGTCAAACCTAACAAAAATTGATCGAGATAAAGCCAAATGAGAACTTCCCTATCGCATCACTGTAATTCGGTCATGGCTCAGAAATTTATGAACCAAGCAAAAAACAACAGTAATCCGCTTGAAAAATTCAATTCTTTAATTGGCTTTATCTCAAGAAATTTGTAACATATTTAACTGATTTTGCATATTTAGAGAGGCATTTCACTGATTCGGCGATTCAATTTTGAAGTTTAAAAAACATATTTTTATGACGTACAGAACTTCAAAATGGTTTGAAAAAAGCAAACATTTCACAACAAACTACTAAACGTTTATTTGTTTGACACTCCTCAGATTATAAAACGTCAGAATAAGGGTTCGAAAGAGCATGATGGAAAATATATACCCAGTAATATATTAAGCTGATAGTCATTAACATATTAATAAATATATTAAGCTATATTAAATAGATATAAAATTATACGAAAATTAAAATGTTTTTTGTTGAGCCAATTGAACAAAATACCCACTGCGATTAATTGGTAAGCTTGTGCTGACTTCTTAATGTCCAAAAAGTCACAATGATCATCCTGAAAATAATGAAAAACTCTTAAGAATAAAGAAGTTCGGTAGGATTAAAACATTTAAAGAAAATATTCAGTAAACTATTAAAATATTTGAAGAAAAGGTAAAAGCAGTAAACTTTTGTTTCGTATCAGTAACAAAGATTCGTTATTGGTGAATTAACAACAAAGCGCTTAAATTCTGTTTTCAAGTTAATTCAACCAGAATTCCCATATGAAAACATCCATTCCAACCTTATCTTCAGTTTAGGGCTCTGGGGACTTATCACCTAAAGAATTTAGAAAAAACTCAACAACAACTTAATCGGGATGTCTTCTGGGAATTTTGTAGAATGTCCCACGGGGCATATGGGAAAGAGAAATAAATGCATTTTTACTCGATAAAATTGAGTTGAAACAAAACGTTCGATCTAGACAGACTGAATAGGACAATCTAGTCACGTCGCTCCTTATGGAACGATTTCAGTAAAAATTGTTTCCTCAGCTTTTTTGTACTTCCTAATAAAATAAAAGTACTACAAGCACATTCTTTGCTGTATAATCTACATGCATGTGTAAAGACAGTTTTATCGGTTTTTCTCTCTTTCTACACGAGCAACATAACTACAGGCCACTTTTCTTGGTGAAAAAACTTAGGCCATCGCCCCTTACGAAACGACTCAAATTTAGGCATGCAGAAAAGCGCACAATGGAGAAAAACCGGGAATTATTATCTGCCTTCTTTCCTTCTACCTTTATCATTCGTCAATATCAAATCAAACTTTTGTTTTCAAATTCAGAATAAAGAAATAATAAAGTTATCCCCCAGTTTGGTTTCCTTACTTAATGAGACTTTATCACGTGTCACACGCTCAGCCACTCATAAATTGTTCCGAATCACAACAGGAAGCCCGCCGTTCCATCGAAGAAGTCATTTGGCTAATGAAAGTGCTTCCGATAAAAACCCCCGTTAATGGAAATCGTGCAAGCAAGTTTGTGTTTCCACGAATATTCGATTTTATTCGTAACCGACCGAGGATATGGCCAAGAAAGTTGAGTTGCAGGAAAAAAGAGTCGAAGGTCTAATGAGAACTTTTTCTTCTACATCCCGCATAGTTTTAAAAGATTCTTCTGGCTTTAAAGAACAAAATGAAACAACGATAATTAGCAAAAATTACAAGTAATGTCGTCAGCAAAATAATTTTGCGCGTTTTTTGAAGATAAACAAACCTAAACTCCTTCATATTTTATTTTTTATCATTGCAGTCAGAATTCATGAAAAAATCGAATCGTTCCATAAGGGGCGACGTGACTTTAAATGGCCACTGACATCTTTAGTTGAATTCGACAAATTCAATGCTGATCGACAACTTCGGCAGAATTCTGATAACATGCAACGAAAATCTGAATAAATAATTACCTCAATATGTCTTTCTAGCTCTTTTAATTGACTGGAGTATTTCTCTACACGAACGAAGGGCTACAAAAAATATCGTTATCAAAAGGCTGTCGATAATTTTTCTTTCTAATAAAAATGAGAAGAAACAATGACAAATTTCACGGCACATAGCAAAATACGGCAACCATAAAGGGTGCTGGAGACAATTTTGGTAATCGTGTCTCACACTTAGAGCTGGCAGGATTTAAGATTGTAGCATGGTGGAAATGCAATACTTTCCGAAAGATTCAAATATGGGCAGTGACTTCAATAACTTTAACTTGTCTACTCTTGAGCAAATATTGAAAATTAAAATGGCACAGATAAAACAAAGTTAACAAAGAGACCAAAAAAAGAAAAAATCAAATCCTCCCATAGTTATATTGCATCTCAAAGTAAGGCCTTTTCAAGAGGTGTTAATAGAGTTTTTTTCGAATTTGAATTTGTTCAAAGCTGGTGTCAGAACAGCGTCCTTCTTTGCGTCAGGTCAAAGAAATGACCTAGAAATAGGCCGCAGGCTCGTAAATTTTTAATTTCAGTCAATCGAAGCAATGTTTGAATTCGCTGACCACTAACGATTTCGGAAATATTAAAAGGGCGGTAACCTTCAATTGCGATTGGTTTATAATACGTCAAAGACAGGTTGAGTCACCATTTTTAGGCACGACCTTGTTTAACAAGGACGAAATCAATTATTCCTTGCTCTTAAAAGACGAAAACATGTTTTCACTTAAACTGATTTAGTCTTCCTTGCTCTTAAAAGACGAAAACATATCTTTACTTAAACTGATTTGGTCTCAAGTGTTCGCAAAGTAAAATTTAAATAAAAAAGAACCAAAGCTACTGGACATTCAGAGAGAAAAATTTACAAAAAATCTCCAAAGTTGGATTCAAAACATTATACTCTCTTTTTGGACAGGAAATAAAAAAATAAGAGTTTCCAAAAAAGTATTCATAAAAATCGACGAGAAATTGTTAAAAGAGTTTGCGTCAGTTGTAAATAGATGAAAAACAATTGAAATAAAATGAAAATATGACAAGCACCTTTGACAACATTGTAGTCAATGTCATGATCCCAGGGCTTGAGGCCCCCCTGCTTTCCATGAACTCAGACAATTTCTCACTGAAACAACATAAAAAGGAAATTCATTTTTGAAATGGAACATAATAAGACAATAAGCAAAAGGCAAACACTTACCTTTTTCAAAATAATCATTAAAAGCAAAGACGAAACTGTACGAGAGTGGTACATTTTCTGAACGAGGTCAAGAACTGGAGTTACCTAACTCGAAAATAAAACAGTTTAAAATATTATTTCGTCTGTTTTAGAATCGATGTACTTGAAAATGAAAAACCACTATTGTGTAGAAAGACGAAGTTGGTTTTCGTCTTTGGACTAAAGCCGAGCGGCATTGGTTGGCTAGCCTGTAGCGTCATATGCTTGCGTTTCTGATTGGCCTACTACCATCCACCCCTGGGTTGCGAACAGGTGCCTGGTGATGGCATTAAGCGTGAAACTCGGAGTAGCAAGTTAGAACCGTCCTGTTCTATACACCAAATAGTGTGTACAGCTCTGTCTATACGGCATCGGGCACTGCATGACAGACCGGTAAGCAGTTACTTTCGCGACTTGGTATATATATTTCCTAGCTTAGAATTGTCATCGTTATTTTGACGTTTTATAATCTGAAGAGTGTCAGAAAAAAGCTCAAGTATGTTTTAAAATGTTTGCTTTCTTCAAAGCTATTTTGAAATTTTGTACCAAAAAATTGTTTACGTAACTCTATAACATATTCACCGAGATTGCGGAAATTGAAATATGCAACTTGGATTTACAGCCTGTTATCAAAATTATTTCATTCGTTATCGCTCATATTTTAGTAGCAAAAAATTAATCAGGTCGCTTTGTCTAGATGCATAGCTCTATATTCTCATGACAAATATTTCGAGGGCAAATGCAGAGTTGGCTAAACATGAAAATTGAAAAGCAGCAGACACTTTAAACACAAAGAAATTGGGAACACTTTAAACACTAAAATCTAAATGTGGAATGCCGGGACAATGGTCTGAAACATCAGTAAATCTCTTTACAGCCAAATCACACAATCTCAACGTCAATAAAAAGATGGTGGACAGATGTCATTAATATTTCAAAGAATAAATTTGTAAAGATGTGAAAATAATTTCAAGACAAGATTTGTACTTTCGGTAAAAAAAACATAAATATTTTATTGTCGACTCACTTTTCTCTTGACAAAATAGCAGCCGCCCATGGATGGTTTGCACAATAGGAAATATAAAGTTCCTTTACCTAAGGAAAGAAAATTTGAATAAGGGTGATTTCTGATTTGTTACGTAATAACAAAATATTGGTTAATTTTGTAATCAATAATGCAAACGGATTTCATGCAGTGACATTCTACAGAGGATTTTCAACGGTTTATTGCAAGCCTCAATCAATGTTGGCAAAATAAAACAATTATCAAAGACATGTGTAAAGATAGATGCTAAAATTCAAGCCAGGACAAGCGATCTTAGCTTAAATTTCGTTTATATTAAAGATAGAATAACACAGTAAGAGTTGCCTTGTTATAAGGAAACTGTAAATCGGTTTCCAAAAGGAAAATAAAGTGGAATGAAACAAGTAGGCAGGAAGCATTTCACAATTTGAGTGGAACAGGTATGGGGAATTAGGTCTCAGAAAACTGGCTTTTTTCCAACGTCCTGACGAGGTAACTCGAAATTTGAACTTGATAAAAAATTAAGGGGGCACATGCATCGTGTGCTAGGTATCCCTGAAATAAATGCTGCAGTTTGCTTGCTAGAAGACTTGCACTTAAACCGATCAAGTCTATGTTCTCACAGATAAACAGACGTCAACAAGAACTCACCTCTTGGAGAAGAGTAAGGAATTCAGCACCGATTCTTTGATGTTCCAAACCCTCTCTGTTTGGACAAAAAACGGGTACATTATGAATCAAGCCTAGCAATATTTTTGAGGGAGATTTTCCAAAATTCTTCATACAAAAAAAAGTCTGGTAAAAATTTGGATTTAGTAACAGAAAACATAATAATCGAATTTAAGGTATCTACATTCTTAATGTTTATGGCATTGTTTAAATCACAAATTAATTGCGCATTTTAAATGATCCGGAAAACCGTACAGCATTTCAAACAATTGGGAGCGAATGAGAAATAATATAAGGCAAGACAAGAAGCTTTTTGACGAGTGCTCGACAGCAAAAGAATTATGACAAAGATACAAGGCTATTGATCTGATATACAATCTAATTTAAAGGCAATCTGTCACGACGTTGATTGATTATAAGAACAAAGGTATTTTTTTTCCAGTCCCCCTTTAATTTATCGCATTGTAAAAAATATGGCGGAGCGCTGGAATGGTGTTTAGGCTATTGTTCCAGCTATTGTTCTCGTTAACCAATCCACAACGAAACAGATTGCCTTTAAAGTCTTATAACAGTTTTACGATGGCTCAAATAGAACCTTCCCATGATCAAATATATGCATTGTCGTCACATGATATTTCAGGTAACACTCAGTATCGAAGCTTTCTCAGAAAATGATATGAGAATTACAATCCCTAAAGTTCTTCTAACACTTCTTTTCCATTTTAAATCTATTGAAAACATATGAATGAGAATCTAACGGGAAATAAAGTTTACATTGTTAATAAAAATAACGAGCATGTAAAAAACAGAATTTTATTTTTGACATTTTTATCGTTTTATTTAAATTTTTTGACCAGTGCATGCACGTGCATGAACTCCGAAACATTTTCCTGTCTATTAAATATCTTTCTTTCAGCCACCTTTCCGACACAAACGTACGTATTTTAAACGCAACAAAAAGACATGCTTTGCTCATCAATTTTAAATGCGATGTTGCGTCTGTTAAGAAGTTAATCTCAGTGAATTAAGAAAGATACCGAAAACAACTTACTTTGATTGATCTGTTAGGCCCTTTAGCAGTCGCTGGTGGAACTGCACAATTTCTTCAAAGTTACCGCAAAGTGTCATTAAATCAGATTGTCCCAATCTATGAATGAGGGAAATTATTAAAAGACATAAAAAAAGCATGGGAGTTTGAATAAGGGATAAAAATACTTAAGACTCACAACAAAAGAAGGCGAAATTTGAGGAGATTAGGAAGCCACAAGAAAGCTTGAATTCACTTCCATCATTCTCCGCTACTTTTCATTGCAAGAAAACACATGTCATATGAAAAAAACCTAAATTCCTTTCAAAAAGAAGGAAAAGTCAATTCTTTCAATGAAAACTCACATGTCCGAGTTCTTTAGTGGACTAATATACTTTTCGTGAAAATTCTAGAAAGAGAAATTATGAATTGTTACAAAGAAAAGATCGACACAAGATGACTTGTTAAAGAATTTTGGCAAAATACATTAAATCGAACCCTAGATGGTATTTTCAAAAGAAATTGATTGTTTTAGGAATCATAAAAATAGCACAACGGTGTATATATAACTGGTAGATTATGGCAAAAGAATACGTGGAAATCTTCACCTGAACAGTGTTTGATTTCTTACTATTAGACAGAATCTTTAATTCATGATTAATAACGCTTTCAAATGGGAGTAAGGCCTAAAGTAAACATTGGATGTTTCCATACCTTTAATTCCTCTACATGTGCTTCTTCTACATCAACCATATTCTTTACTACCTGGAAATAACGAGCGAAAAACAACTTCTAAAAATCTGTATATATTCCTATGAAGAGAAGCCACAAAAACCGATCGAATAACTGACTGACAAATTAACTGATCGATTTTTTCAAAGCAAGTGAGGAATATTAAAATAGTTCCAAACATAGGGAGCGCATAGCTACGATAAGCTGACTAGGGAATAGGCCAATTTTCATCTGAGTAGCGATCCAGCTTACAGTTAGTCTACAAATATTGAGCCATATGAGTTTAACACATGCCAGTCCCTAGAGCCATATGAATTTAATGAGCCATATGAGTTTAGCACCTGCCAGTCCCTAGAACATTAGAGCTTAGCTATCCCCAAACAATCAACAGGGTAGACAGTTTATAGCAAATGTTTGTCTAGTATTTGCTTTTCAGGCCCAAAGACCAAATTTAAAATTCTCCTTAAATTCATTTCTTGGGCTACAATCAGTGGTGCTGTCCTAAAAAGTTAGGGAAAGGGGGCTGTGTTGAAGGGAATACATCGAGGCAACACCCATGGTCACACCCTATATACTTGCAATCTTTTTAAAGATTCTCTGTGGTGTATATGGAATCACTTAAACTATTCACTGACTCTAGAAGACTAATAGAATTTGTTCATTCATGGAAAATCAATAGCAAAATAAAGAAATTTGCCAAACCAAACACATACTGGCTTGCTTAGGGGGGACTGGGTCCCTCTACCCCCCCCCCCCCAAAAAAAATTTGCAATAATTTTTTGTTTGGGAAAAATAAAAAAGTCATAAATTGCAAACTTTAGTTGCATACCAAAGTATGATTTGCTTTGTGGGTATCTGCAACAGGCTGTGGAGTGACCTTTTCTTTGTCAAACTCTTCTGGGTCTATAAAAGGAAGAAAATTACATTCATTGCAACCTCTGCAGAAAAAAACAATTCAAATATTTCAAGCAAGATATTGCTAATTTAAATCAGGTCACTTTCACAACTACTTTAAGTATATATTTTGATTGCTACATCTTTCTTCTTATGGTTCATAGTATTAAAAAATACCAAGTTTCTCATGTTTTTCCACATGGGTAGCAGATTAGTCTGTGATAGACTCAGGGAGATAATAGGTGATGGGTCTGGATTTTTAAAAGTTTCCTCTAAGTTTACTTATATTGTCTATATAAATAAAATTTCAATTCTTAAGAAATAATGCTACAAGATTATGCAACTATGATTCCATTTAGTAATTTGCCAAATCAATTGAGCTGATCGGGAGTTGAGGTAAATTATGTTTTGTTCAATACGTCTACTGTTTTCCACGAAAGACATGTTTAAAAAGGCATTAATTATTCTGTAGAGATAATTTTGTAAGATTGTTGGTGACAGCAAGAAGGTTGAGAGGGCAACAGGTTGATCATTTATGTGAAAAGATAAAGATCATTTAAACAATTTTCCTTTCAACCTTTCTTCTTGCAACCAAATATTGCATCAATAGATTTTATTTTTAGTTTCAGGCTTTCCAAATTTCATCAACAATTAGATTGAAAAATTCTATCTGCATTGGATTCTGAAAAGGGTTCTAAACAGGACAAGGGGACAAAAGCACAACAAAAATTGGATAAAACAACAATATTTTTTCAATTGGATTAAAATCCTCTCATTTAATATATGGTTCCATCTTTTGATCTAAAATTATAGTTCAACAAAATTGAGCAAAATGGAATGGGAAATTGACATCCTTAAGAAATTTCCCAAAAAGAGTCTACTGGTACTATAGGTTCCAATGTTATTGACATTTTCAAGACAAAACAAACACAGGAACATCTGCTTGAAGTAAAGAGCACAGCTTGACATTGGCTAATGAGGATTGAGACTGATGACAACAAAAACCAAAATGGAGATATATCATCTGCAGGCCAATGGTGTTGTTTCAACAGAGCTGTCAAGTGCCACAATTCAAAAGAAGATACAGCTGTCTAAACCACTGGAACCTAATGTGACAACATACACATCTGAATGGTCACAATACAGGCATACAGGTCAGTTACAGAATGCATATGGAAAATAACAATTTCAATGGAAACTGTACCTGGTGAGACATCCTTCACATAAGCACTTGGGAACCAGCCAATTTTACCATCTCTTGTTCCTTCCCACCAGCCACCATCTACAACCTAGGAATATGTTTATGTATCATATCAAAGGCAGAAAACATTTCTGTCAAGCCAAATTCCAATCCTACCCACTGCAGGCCTCTAAGTTTGAGAAGCGTTTTTGTTGGCCTGCCTTTCAACATGCACCTAGGCAAGACAAGGTACGCATTTTGTCACAAACCTGCTTCATATTAAGTAGCAATATCAGGAACCTCAGCCATAGGCATTTTGTAAATAGATGAATTTGTTATCAGAAACTTTGTCTTGCTCCAGGAGTAATTTTTAAATTACAGCATTCACAATTTAAGGAATTGCACAACACGATGTGCTACCTGTTCAGTATGAGGAAAAAACCAATCTTTTCTGCATCACCACTGTTATCATTAATTTTTTGTTATCATTATCAATATATTTTAACTTAGGAAGCAATTTTCAGACTAAATTGGTGTTAAAAGTCTAGCTACACTTTTTCAACACATTACTGTTATAATTCTTATGGGGATCAAAATAATAGGATTTTCTTTTGTGGGTGTCTATAACACTTGTTAGACAATAATAATATAATCTTTTGGTACCACAAAGCTTAAAAACCGAATAGAAAAGCTCTAACATCAAAAGTAGTTATATCACTGTTTTTCAGTGCAAATAAAACCAGAAGTTATGAATCACCCGCCAGGATAAAATATTCAGCTTCAAGGCATACGATCAGCCAGGCACCTGCAAAAATCTTTATGGAGAGGCCTGCCACTACAAAGGTATGGCATTTAGACATTCTGCAAACTACAGCAAACTATAAGCCTGACATCAATAACAATTTTTTTTAAAAATTCAGCACAAAACTTTGTCTTCAAGGCATATTCAAGAAGTAAAAAATCAACACACTTAGCTCATTAATAAAAAACACAACAATGATTATTCGTAAAATACTGACTGAGTATTGAAGATAATAAAAAACTCAATAAGAAAACAAAAGGTAAAAATCAGCTCTACCACTAAAGGTTATGTGCAACAATTTGTAAGTACTCACTTTTGATATAATCACAATATCGCCTTTATTGAAAGACAGCTAAAATTAGGAAAGTTATCAGCATTTAATATGTATCTTGCATACAAATCTGAGTATATTCAAAAGGAAATACAATATGATTGTCAAATATAATATAATAAAGGCTGAACAAAAATTTGATTTGCAAACACCATTCAACATAATACAAAAGTTACATTGTGCTTTTTGGAGGTAAATTAATCTGGTTAAACAACAACAAATAACTTATACATAAATCTTCAATGACCACACCTCATCCTCATCCTGGCCTGTATAAGAAAAGGTCCCCTGAACAAAGTGCACATTAGTCAAAACCTCTGCGATCCCCTACGTGAAAATAGGATATTTTGAATGTTTCATTATATATAGTATATATATAATTTGTATTATGTAAGTAATGCATGATTACTAGTCATCAAAAATAGCATATAGATAATAATCAATCTAAACATTGAATTAAATAGAAATAAATTCTTTGAATTAAATCTAAACTTTGAATTAAAAAGAAATAAATTCTTATCACAAGTTTTAACTTGTAAACATGACAATTAAGACATCAGTACATAGTGAAAATAATATCAAAAATATGTGATCCAGTTTCAAATCTAAATTTGGATCTTTCATACCTCAGTTACATACTCTATATATTCTACATAGTCTGTAAAGTATAGATAGTAAAGTACAGAAGGCGATAAGCTATCGTGAACTGATTGTATGAACATTGTTTTGAATGATCTAATTATTTATTTATTCCAAAGTTAGTTCATTCTTGACATCTGAAATGGCAAATGATTGATGCATGGTGCAAAGAAAAATCATACCTTCTACTGACAAGTGTAATGAGGTCCACAAGTTACTAGATGGTGCTTATACTAGATGATGCTTATACTAGATGGTGCTAGATGGCTTATATTCTTTTGAAAATTTTATTTCATAAATAATAATAATTTAATATGTTGATGTTACATCACCAAAGTTTGGACACTAATGTAAAATCAAAAATATCTGGTCCTGTCACAAAACTATATTATAGAAGATATATACCTACAGAGAAAAAATCATTCTTGGACTGCCCATCTACACTTCTAAGACTTTGAATGAAATTTTGACTTACAAACTTGAATATTTGTCTAAAGAAAAATCACTTTGAATTCAACATTTGAATAAATTCTCAATAACCAGGATGTTTGGTGGCAAAAAATAGAAGAGACCAAATAATTATTGATTTCCTTGTGATTAAACAAGTTCAGTAGGAAACTATAGCAACAAAATTTTGTCTTACCTTTGCCATTTCTTTATCTAATATTACAATGGACTGAAGTGTTGATGATTCTTATGCTCAACATCTGAATAACACAGCCTTGCCTCTAAAAGTGAGGATGAGTCATGAAACATAAATCAACAAAAAAAACCACATCAACAGACTTATGGAATGGATGTCTGCCAAGTGAAAATTTAAATGGAAACCATTGTTATCAATGCCCTTAGGCACCTGCTTTAAAATATGAAAAACTACAGTGTTAAAACTGAAAATTTCGAAATATTTGTAGTGGGGTTATTGATTGTGCATGTCCATGTTTCAAATCATTTTTCTTTTCTTGTTTCTCATGACCACCAATAAAAAACAAGAAAAAGTTGGAGGCATAACAAAATCCCCTTTAGCATTATTCTTTCTAAATTTTCTACACAATCAATATGATGGTTTCAAAAGTCCATTTTTTTGTCAAATAATATTTTAGTTTTGTAAGAAATAGACTTTTTACCTGCAAAAATACTTGCTACGTCAGCAAAATTATGAAACTACTGGTTGGATTTCAAGTTAAACAAATTGAAAAAAGTAACTAGGGGGAACCAGAAGCAACTTTTTGTAAAATATCCTTCTTAGACGTCCTTTGAACTTTTAATATCATTTAAACGGTTTTAAGCGTTCAGGTTTAAAGTGCACCTCAAACTAAATATTGACAAGTGTACAGTTTACTGAAAGCAAAACAAAGAATCGCTTGCATTAGGGTGGGGCAAGCCAATTTTCTATCACGCTTGCTTCCTAAAGAAACTCAAGGCTATAATCCTCTAGGTGATATTTTTATAAAGATAGCTTTTACCCGATCCCCAAATCTTTTGTGAGCAGTGGATGCCCGGTCATCAGATATTCTGCTGTTTTTTGACAACATCATTAAATTTCTGAACAAGATAGACAATATAACGAGCGGCAGTTTTCTTGAGATTTGAGAGCATTGAGAAATAACAAACAAAAGAGAACCTATCCTACAACTTTCCTTATATCTTGTTCTTGTAGTTGTTGTACATTTACATTCTATTTTTTGTGGCTTGTGGGATTCGCGACAAAGAAAAACATTACAATGTACGAGATAAAGCATCCAACTTCGTTCTTGGAACCTTAATTTCAATTTCTTTATCGCGCTAGAAGCTGAAAAACTAAAATTAACTGCAATTGGGATTGTACAAAGATTGATGTAACGGAAACGGCCTACAAAGTTTGTTTACTCACAATCAAGATAAAAATTATATATTCTCTGATGAGAAAACGTAGATACTCTCACAGAACTATATACATACCTCAGCATTTACTGCATCAAATTGTTTCTATCAATGAATAATCCTAAGGCGGGGTCAATCTTTCAGCTGCTTCTTCCCAATGCTCAAATATTGAGTGAATGCGGCAATCATTCACCGGCCTAGCCCAGCCCAGAATGCCTTTGCTATAATTAAGTTGAAAGATAACAGCGCTGCTTTAAACATTTAACCTGTAGATATACATCCTCAGATATTCTACGTGAGTATTCAGATTATTTCACGTTTTCCCACTGATTCTGCAGCAGCTTTTTTGATTAATTATTAATGCAAGACTTTCCAGGCTTCCTTGTCCTCAGTTGCCACAATGGAATAATTTGGTGCAGCTGCTCCTTCTCGCGTGAGAGACGCACAAAACACGCGAGCAAATAGCCCAATAATTATGGCCTGCCATGTCTGTTTGATAGGCTGTTTAGATCAGACCAGAGTAGCTATTTTGGAATTAGATTAGATCCTGAACATTTTTAAAAAATAGATCTTAAAATGCACGTAAAAGAAATTTCGACAGGGGCTGGGGGAGGGTTGTCTCAACATTTGGCTCTGAAATTTTCATATTCTTATTTTTTGGTTTGGTAACCAGGCTGGGGCGGGGCTCCCACTTTTTTCGCGGCTGTTGATATAAAGATGTAGTGAATAGGGAACACCGCAACGCGCTGAGAACAAACAACAACAAACGAACGTAAATCAACTATGGCTAATATTCTAATATTAATATAATAATATTAATTGCTGCTGATATACACTCTTTTTTATAAGAACCAGTAAATTTAAGTTCAGGCTGACTATTCTTAATTTTTTCGAAAATCTGTGGATTTAATAGGGTGTAAGCAGTGCGAGAGCTAGCTTTTTCGCTGTAGGGAGCTAGTCAGGCCTCGTTTGCCAACAAAGAGAGTGAGACAACCTTCATTTGTTTGAATATTCACCGAAAAAGCACCCACACATGGCTAAAAATCCTCGATTTTGAGTAAAAAAGTTGTTCAAAATTGCATTTTGCAAAAGCTGAGTCTCAGCTTGTTCTTAACTTTTGACCAATTTTGAGGCTTGTGTTCTTATAAAATTGTTCTTATCAAAAGAAAAGAGTGTAATGGTTGTGACATCAAAGACGGCTATGGCAAACTACCACAATAGTTAAACTGTGTGGAGCCCACAACCACCCACCCCCCACACTTCATAACTCTGCTACGGTGTCCCTGGAAAAAATTCTCTAATGTGAGTGTTTTTGAGGCTGTACCAAATTGCCCTTTAACCCTATCAGCATTTAATTGGCTGTCAAATATTAAGAAGTCACGTTTACAGACCAAGGATTAACGAATCCATATGCTTTGGTCCCATCACAAGAGGATTAACTCTTAAAAAGCCCTTCAAAGTTTGGAGCTTGTCCGTATGAAAAAGTCAACCAGTTAGAAGAAATATTCCATGGCTTATTGTGGGCCTTCTAGCAAATATATCTTCTAAATACTTTTTACAGACTTGTAGATTCAGCAACCTATTATCATTTAATTTGATAAAGAGCACTTGCGAATGAGATATTCAATTTCAAACAGAAATTCTATTATTTGTTGAGCGGAGTAATACTTGCAACAGAGCGCATATTTTTAATTGCTTCAGCATGGATTTTGTTTTTGTCATAGGTGTTAAATTATCACTAAGAGCACGCTTGGAAGAACTATTCCATTTGAAAGCAAAATCTTTCAGATACTAAGTGTAGGGGGGCCAGGGTTTCTTACCCCTTATACTACAGCTTCGAAATTATTTGCTTCGCCAAAAAGTGGGGGGGGGGCATGGCCAGCCCGGCCCCTCCGGTGGAGCGTGCCCTGAGCGCTCATTCCTTTTTTGCGAAATACATATGAAGTCAATACATGTATATTATTTTGCTTAATGAGCGCCCATGGAGGAAATAACTGTTTTTCGTTTAGTATTTAGAGAGATGCTGAATTGTCTCGTGTGAAAACCTTGATAGGTATTTAATCGAATATTTAAGAAGAAAGATCTATAAATATCAGAATACTTGTAATGTTGCTATTGATATAGTGATATGGTCCCCGTATTTTAATGAAAAAAGCTAGTAAACATCGCCTAAGAGAAACATCGCTATCAGAAAAAATACTACGAATAATTCTTCAAATTCTGTGAAAGTCTACTTGTTTTATTTCCAGAATTTCCGAAGTGGTTTTTAGTTATTTTTTAATCCTAACTTGCTCATGGAAATCTCTTTTTCCAAACTGCTTTTTATGAAAACCGCACAAAGAAGTTATGCAAGAATTAATATTTCTAGGTCGAGTTCTATATATATAGTAACCTTCGTTATTCGCCTTTAACTGGACTCTTATAATACTGGATTTGCTAATGAAACGTAAAAGTTACATTTGAAATTTTAAAGGGCATATGTCGCATTAACAGTTGGCTAATGAAACAAAAGCCTTTGGAGAGGAATTCCATTGTATCGTGACTTTTCATTTCTTCTTCTTGAATTTTTACTACCGTAAAAATTCACCCTCGATTCCATGCTTTGTACTAAACAAATTGAATTGCATTAGCCAATCATGTTCACGGTCGGCACTAGATCATAGTCAGCTAATGTACATGACGTCATACAAACTATGGCAATCTGGTGCATGAGTGGTGTATGACGTCATGGCGTTCCAACCATTTGATGAAAAACTATATTGCAAGCGGCATGAGATTCAATTCCTATGTCAACTGCCAATACCTCAGCTCATTCAATGTTCTAAACACTAAACTATGGAAAATGAAGGCTGACGCAATGCTTCTAAAAGGGACTTTAGGCTTGATTACAGCAAATTTTGTCGGGAAACTCTCTTTAAAACGCTTGATAATGTTCTTATGCGGCAAAACCAGTTATCCGAAACGAAAACGTAAGAGAGCGTTTTCGTAGCTGCACACGCACTGAAACGAGTTCTTTAGATTCAACTGTAAGAAAGTGCTTCAAAACAGGGCTTATTTAATGCTTTCGCTTTAGAGTAGAATAGACATTTTCCGTCTTTCTCTGTTTGTGTGTGCTGTGAATTGAAACCTCTGGAGAAAAAGCTAAATTCAAGCTGTAGCAGAAAATTCCCCGAAAGAAGTAGGCAGAAAACCTGGCAAACACGCCCCTGTAGATTAAACAAACTACAGAAAGATTTCCTGATGTCATTTTCTTGCACTCGACTAAAACATTTAACTGTTCTGTAGCGATGCATGGACCCTGTTAATGCCACAGCAAACCACAGGCGAGTTCCGCCATTGCTTGCAGCCTCCGTCTAATTTCACTTAGTCCTCGGTTTCAAAGATGTATGACGTCATGTACGTTAGCTGACTATGATCTAGTGCCAACCCATGTTCACGACACATGCCCTTTAATATGTTGATTCTGAAATACTCTTTACAAAAGTTTACGTAAACCAGCGAAATTCTATTTTTTCAAAGATTTTTAAACACAGGGAAAGGAAATTTGTGTAAGGTAGCAAAAGGAAAGGGCCTAGAAGGGGACCCTGTGGGACTTTGACACCAGAATTTACGAGAGGTTCGTTAGACTTCTAGCCATTTGTTGAGACGATTCGAGTTACATTTGAAATCTTAAATAAGCTGATTTTGAAGTACTCCTTACAAAAGTTTACATAAACCGGCGAATGCCATTGATTTCGAAGATTTTTAAACACAGGTAAAGGAAATTTATGTAAAGTAGCTAAAGGAAAGTTCGAGATGTTCGTTAAAATTCTAGGCATTAGTTGAGACGACTTACTACGACTTATTAGAAGGCTTACTACGATCTGCAAAAGTTATCAATCATGCTGATCAAGTATCAATCAATCATGTCTTGAGGTAGAGTATTGTTTACATACAATACCATTTATCAGATTTGATTTGAGGACTAAAATTGCGAATATTGTTGGCTTGTTCTCTAGAAATCCGTAATGATGCTTTAATATCATATTGTATTTATTCCTTAGAAAAACGTGGAGGGGGAGCGGGGGCCAAAGCACCTCTAGCCCACAAGCTCCGGCATGCGTCTATTCAAGGTCTTAAAAAGCATTGGTCATCAGCTTTCACTAAAAATAGGTAACAATGAGGCAAGCCTGTAATTCCAAATTTAAAACTTGAATTCATCTTTCTTTATACATAGGTGTTTTCTAAAAACTCTAGTTTGTTCTGGTATCAAGCCTTCTGAAAAGGATGAGATGGAAAAGTAAAGTTTAGAAATAGTTAACACCACAAAAACTGTTGCAGTACATTACAGACTTTTGAGATTGGCTGTGAGGAATTTCGAATAATTTTCAATCTTTATTCTCCAAAGGTTTATGCCAAACAAGCAGTAATATTTAATAGGAAATCAAGAAATTTAGAGAGTTTTGTAATTTTCAAACATCAGTCAATTCTTCAAGCTCTGGAATTATTCAACATCTTCTGAATGGCAGGTCCAGAGTGGATTTAGGTAAGAAGGATTAGAGAGGTGTTGCATAATGATTAAATTTTGTGTCACGCACTCCAGGTGGCTGTAAACTGATCGAAAGGCCCATTTTTTAATATTATTGTTATCAGTTATTTTAATATTATTATTGAACAAAATTTACTGAAGAACACACAAGTAATTAGGGGAGGGTGTCATATCTCCCCTCACCCTCTGTAAAAACTTGGTGCTGTCAGTCAATCAGTCAGCCAGTCAGTCAGCCGGGTTCTCCAATGAGGACAATATATGACAAACCATACAGCAAATTTGGCTGCATCCCTAATCTCTATGACATCATCATGATGTCATAAACTAAGAATAGTCATAAAGTAGACAAGATGACCCAGCATACACAGTTGTCACTGATCAAAATTACCAAAGTCTAACTTAAGTTGTTCAAGAAAGACTGAGTTCTGATCAAATAAAAGTCTTACATTAGTAAATTCAACAAGAAGTAGTTTAGTAACATCTGCACTGAAGAAGTCTTCCCTAAAAAATGTCTATAAACACAGTCTCTCACAAAGAGCTTGGGTATTGCAGGGCAAACTTGATAATAATAACTTGACATTCCAGACTAAGCCATCTAAAAACTTTTTCTCTACTCTTGCCCTAGCAGAGAGGTAACCAGAAATAAAAATATTTTCAAGTTTGCTTCAGTACAAGATTACAAAAACATTTCGGTTAGCAACAGCAAATGACACTAGCAACAAGTAGAAAACTGTAAATATGAATTACAAATAATTAATACATCCCAATTCACTTGAATGCAACAGTTATACATTTGAAATATTCTGCAAAAAGCGAAAAATTGAGCAATGTTGGCACCATTGAAAAACATACTACCAAAGCTTGTTCTATATAAACATTTTATACTCTAAAAGATGATATTTTTAAGTTGATCTTAATCTGGGAAGTAGTCTTGGAATCTGGTCTGGGAGTTGGTTAAAGTGCCTAGATAGATATCCATTCCACACACAAAAATTTTGTGTCATTGAGTACCACACACAGCAAAAATTATCTGATTGACTTTCTATGGATCTTTTTACAACCTTGTTGTCTGGTTTTTGCTACAGCAAAATACACACAAAGAAGAGAAAATCAATATTGATACACAATATTTCAGCTCTTAAAATCTGAACACTAAACTGCAGAGATTCAAACATGCAGCAAATATACATTCTTGTTTCTAACAATACTATCAACAATAAGTTAATCCCTCATTTTAATAAAGAATTCAATTTTTTCAAAAGTGTAATCGTAGCTAAGTTTAATTACAATAGTTGTTTTCTATAGCAAAATCCATTTGGTGAAAACATTAATCCAACAAAAATATGATACTGCTTATATTTTGGCTCTTGTGAATATCAGATTAATGAAATATGTCATAGGGTCATTTCTTAATTCAAAATCAAATTACTTTACCTTGTGCTTCTTGTGCCTTTCCGCTTTTTTACATTAGCAGTACAAATAGGACAGAATGGTTCCTCTCCATTTTGCTGCAAGCATCTTTCATGGTAGAAATGTTTGCAGAAAAACACCACAATGTCGGCAGTTCCTTGACTGTTTTCAACTACAACATATCCTTGGCAGCCCTCACATTTGGCATCTTCTGACACGCTGTAGCCATGAGCTTGTACCCTAACCAGTCTTTGCATTATTGCGACACTGTCTTTATCCAGAATACTTTTGCAACCTTCGTGTAAGGCCACTTGAAGATTATAGTCTTGCAAGATTTTGACAAGTGCATCTCGAAGGCCTGGTATTTTCATACCTGGTGGAATACGTCCAATTAAGATAATAGGATCGATTGCAGTGCCTATATTCATTAGAAGTTCTCTAACAAACAGAGGTTTGTCTATTGAATAATTAATCAAATCTTGCCACAAAACATCATCTTTCTGTTCCTTAGTAAATTCTATAGCCTTCTCAATGTCTTGCTCCTTTTCAATAATCATTGATAGTGCCTTTTTGCTATTCCCCATTCTACTCAGCAAAAAAACCATTTCTGGTATATAGTCTCTTTCCTCACAAACCTTGAAAGCCTTTTCCAAAGCATAGTAGTTGCTACTTCTGAGAAATGGTAGCAGCTTGGATCTGTCAAACTCAGCGAGGAGCTCAACTTGTAGTTCATGAAAGTCTTGTCCAGCTTGAGCATCTTTCAAAAACAATGCAATTAAATACGAGTGCAGCAGTTTCTTGTGATTAAGCAGCTGTCTTACAACATGCTCAACATTCATTGTTTCAATGTTATCAGTTAGCAACTTTACTGCTTTCTTTTCATCTATTTCCATCAAGCTAACAATCTTGTCTTTAAGAAATTCAACTAAATTATGCTTTTCAATCATATCGAACACACCAGGATCTCTAAGCTTCAAGTAAATGGCAAGGCCTTGGGCATATTTCTTCTCATGAGCAAACAAAGTTGCTAGTGTTTGGAGCAAAATCTTGTTATTACTTTCATCTTGCTCCTCTTTGAGCTTCTCTTGTATGACACGGGTAATTGTTGCACTTTCATAAAGATCACTTGGCCATTCTTTGATAAGTTTCTGAAAACCAGAGATGTCTGTTTGCAAGTATTCATTTAATATCATTTCATAAATTGTATGACTCAATCTTGGTTTCTTAAAAGGAACAAGAGGTGTGATAACTTTGAGTTGTCTGTACTTTGCAAATCTGTAAACTTCCTCTTCCCACAGGGCTTGATCATCTCCTAAAATTTTGCTACACAATTTAGCAGCTTCTTTGAACTTCTTGCTGTTAATCAAACTGTTCATATACTTCTTCCATATCTTCAATACATTGTGCGTCTTCAGCATACTCTCGTGTTTTAATGCATCTGCCAAGGCTTCCTCAAACATATCTCTCTCCATCAACCAAGATATATGGTCATCCATATCCCTCGGCTTTGCTAGCACAATGTCTTTTGGGCTAACAATGTAAAACAAACTTTCTTCTTGAACATTCTCAAGAAAATAATTGTTAGATTGGTATTCCTCAAACCCTCTGATAGATAAGGCATCACTAGAGGACTCAAAGTATGTATAGTATGCTTGCGGGCTCAAGATCAACAACTGTGGCCTGTTGGCAGAGCCTTTGCCATCTGCCTTGCTGCTTGGCAAATACGAAAGCACAACCAGCTCACTTCCAAAAGGGGCAATCCCACAAGCAAAGAAGTCTGTATGAAAGACATTTGTCAACTCAACACACAGTGGTGGAAGATTATTTCCAACACTCCAAGCAATCTGCTGGTCTTTGTTATCTCGCTCTTTCACAACACCAACCTGGATATAATCTGCCCAGGCAATAAGCAAAGTATTGCTGTCTTTCCAGCATAAATTACACCGATAAAGATCATCTCTGGGGTTTTGTGACACTTTGTCAATGTGTGCAAATCTAATCCTCCGGTTCATATCATAAACCTCAACACCCTGTGAGTCCGCCCAAGCAATGAAATCCCCTTTCCATTTCATAGTTCTTATATACCCTGTTCCAGAATGTAGCACAGTGTTCTTATTCCTTAACCATCCCTTTTCATAAAGGAGTAATTTTTCTCCAACTCCAACAAGATACTGCCTGTTTCCTCGTTTCGCATACTCCGGGTGCAAGGCAATTGCTCGAATCGGGCAATCAAACATTAGCTGAATGTTATTCTCAGAGCAATATAGGCCATTGATAACAACTCTCCCATCCTCTGAGCAGCTTGCCACATATTCACCATAGCTATCGATACTTATCTGATTAACTGTGGTGGTATGTGACGGGAATTCCTTGTTTCTGATATTATTTCCCTGGTGGTCCAAAACATGAACAACACCCCAATGCGTCCCGAGAGCCAAGAATTTAAGGTGCACTGCCATACAACTGGCAGCATCCTGCTGTAAAATACTTTGTATAGCATTTCCTACACGCTCATATTTTAGCTTAGGCTCCTCATCGTCTTCGTCGTCTTCAAATTGATCATCATCTTCTGATTTTTTTTCCTTGTTACGATCTTTAGGTCCCTCCTCCATGTTTTCTCTTCCCTGAGATAATGCGCAAGCGCACAAACAAATCATAATGGCCTTTGGAGTCACATGATGAACGCCACTACGAAGGAGAGAAGCAAAGACCATGCAAGAAGTTGGTTCGGAGTAGGGACCAAAAAGTCTTTTTAAAATGCCACGCCCATACGCCAAAAAGGAATCCCCGTCATTTATTTTACGGGACTTATCTCATCTCTTAAAAAAGGCTTATATACAGAAAATGAAACTGTTTATGAAACTGTTTTAAAGAGATCTATTAAAGAATCCTTTTAAACTTGAAACTGGCTTTGAAAAAAGCAAACATTTGAGTAAACTAAAGCTTAACTCTATCAAATTTATTTCCTTTTCGTTCTATCAAAATTCAATCAATTTGCCTGCGTGGTACAGATTTCTGATATTATTTGATAGGGTCATTGAGAGTAAAGAAGGGGGTGCTAGTGCTGTAGAGAGGGACATCACGAGTTCTGTTGGATAGAATGAAATATTCAAGTTGAAAATCTTTGCACTAGCTTTTGGTTTTAAGTAAGGAAGAATAATTGTCGACATCTTCCTTGAACTTGTTTTTTTTCAGAGCCCGGGAAACAAGACACTTTTCTGGACAATGGCTCTATATTTTCCAATAATGCTCCATTTTCATATACAGCAACTTTGTTAAACAACGGTTTAGTGTACTCTTAGGAGAGATTACAAGAATTTTTATGTTCTTATCGAATTTTGAAGAGATTGTATATTCCTATCGAGACATAAATGTAACATGTCAAACTTGAAGGCATAGCTGCAATAATATGTCTAATTTGTTTAATGTAACGCTACCTGTTGCTTTCAATGAAACATTTAGTGGGTATTTTTGAGAGAGAAAAATTAGGAGTTAAATTGATAGCAGTCCATTCCTCGGCAATCTAGTCACTTTGCTAGGCCTCCGGTCTTTCTTTGTCGGAGGCCCTGATTTTGGGAGCTTATTAACACTGATCTACAAAATTCTAAAGTCCGTAGAGAGAGCTTCAGAACAATTTTCCCTTTCAGAGTTTTCACTCTTGTCTTTATCCAACATTTTTTTAAGGAAATTGTTTTAGTGAATTAAATCTCACATTCTAGAAAATTTCATATTCTCATTTTTCCTAGACAACCATCAACTCTACAGCTATATTTTTAAATTCAAGTTCAAGAATTTTAGTTGCAGACTCGCAGTAGGCTCACTGTCTTCGCAATTTTATCACTTAACAAAAACCAGCACATTGCTAATACAATGCTTGGTAGAATTCAAAAGGTTTCCCACTACAGCATACGTCACTATCTCAGTACCAGGTCTCTAGCCTTCTGAGTTCTAAGATGTGGCAGTAGCGACAAAGAAGAAACGTCGTCTGTAAACATCATTTTGAAAATCTGATTCGCTTATTGATTTAATTGAAAAAATTACAGTATGCATTACAAAATTTAATAATAATCAATCTGATGAATTTTCTACTTTTCAATAATATGCAGCAATTAATGTTTTACGAAACCATTCCTGGAAAATCAAGACTCCCAACTGTTGCCTTGGCTGTCAGTGAAACAAGAACAAGGTGTATGTCATCGTAACTATCGAGAAGGATTTAAACGAGCTTTGTGTCGTTTGCTCAACTGTTCTTGGGAGCCTGGTATCGATTATATCTATTATGTCGTTTGCTCAACTGTTCTTGGGAGCCTGGTATCTAAGAAGCTAAATTGATCAGGACTCTAAAATGGAAACAACTTGATACCGCGGCTACATGGAAGGAAGAAGTAGGCCTATGTTAAAGTATGGTAAGGGATGAAGAAAAAGTACATAGCGATAACACAAGGGTCTTAAGGAATAATTTACATAGCAATGATTTGGACCGAATAAAATCACCTCTACATCTATTTTATTAGAAATAACAACTGTTTTGCAAGTTATAAAGTGGGTTTTGCAAGTTATTTGCATTCTTGTACTACATAACTAAAATTACAGTTTACTCTCTGTGAAATTTCATAAATGACACAACATTAAGGTTTTACTTTATTTTTTGTAGTCTTAAACTACGAAATTTTGATCCAAGTGATCAGCAAAGTTCAATGTTTCAGTAAAATATAAGCAATGGGATTACAACGTGTTCTAAAATTCAACTATATTTCATAGCAATAGGAGACGTGCAGGACTTGAATGTCCAGGACTTTCTGCAAATTGTTACAAAAATATCGTATTGAGTATGGTTGCAAGCATGCTGCAATTTATGAATTTTAACTAGTGTTTGGAATTTTTTTCTCTTGGCTATAAAGCTACAATAGATGCAACGTAAAGGGGGGCACAAGTGTCATGGTTAAATCGGGTAACTATGTATGACTCTATGACCCCTTCACTCAAGGTTGAAGCTGCGACCCTACGCGACAATTGGGGTGTCGTCTTTATCAAAAAGCTAAAGTTTTTTATCCTTAACATATAAGCATTTTTAATATTCGATTTTAGTTCTAAAGACCTTTTTGCCAGATTTTAGCCGTAGCAACGTGAGGATTTCAGTTTATAGGACTCAAATTTACTTGGCATCCCACAGGCGGGCACAGAAACAATGTTGAATAGGTTAAGGTTGTTTTTTGTTCTTCTAAAGATTGTTGCAAAGCAAAGAGTGTCACAAATATCAGTTGATTTAGATAAAAACATGCTGACACCTCACTTAACAATATGAACTAAACATGCAAACCTGGCACTACATTTTTTCAACTTTCGATACAGTGAGCATCTTCGCAGCAGCATTTAGCGCTGTCAGTACACAATGCATTTCTGCTGCCATTGGAAAAACGAAGTCTCAAACGAGAGACTCTCCATCGTATGGGTCTTGAAAATTTTTAACTGTTAGGCCTTTGAACGTTGCATCAACAACATCTGGCCTAATTGGCAACGGCATACGCAGGAGGCAGTCATTTGTATTACGCGGCAATGAAGAGAATTCACAAAGCTCACTGATTTCACTGCAACTGTCTTCAGTTGTACTGTCCCCAATTTGTGGGACAATATATTCCTGCAGTCTGTATTTTCGACCGAATTCGTAGGCACGAACCAACTCTCCGCGCGTTGAACTACAGGTTGATGAAACGGAATCGTACGAACGCACACTTCTTGACCGCTTCACTTTGTTGTCGCGTACGATTAATGTAAGGGATTTCATTCCCGTTGCTTGGGAATCTTTTGGTGGTTGGCCAGTTTTATTTCGCTTCCCATTATTTGCGGTCAAGTAGAGCTTTAAATTCGGTTGTTTTTGCAGTCCACTATCTAAACTTTTAAAATAATGTCTCAGCTGCTGATCTTTATAAGACCGCTTAGCACGCTCCGTGTACTTTTCCTCGCTTAACGCGCCCTCAACACTTCTAGAAATGAAATTTCCCGTTGCCTCCGCATTGCCGCTATCACTTTCATTGGAGCTAGGCATGTTTCGACTTGACAATAAACTGTTGCTAGTATAAATTCCTTTAGAGAGCTGGGATGATTCAGAGGTTTTGTATGTGTTTGTGCTTGGAGTGCCAAAACGCATCGCAGATTCAGGTTTGTCAGGGCTACTATTTTCCTGAGTGTCTGTTGCCTTGTCTTCGTCTTCCTCGGTTTCATCGAAGTTCAAAAGCTGCGCAAACAGATGCTCCGGGAAGCGCTCTTCCTCTCCTGTTGGGTTGGAGGTCGGCGGCTCGTCGTTACTAGAAACAACGCTCTCCCTGCAATAAAACAGTAGTAAGAATAACACAAATATTTCATTTGTAAATTTATTTTAGCGCTACCAACAATAAAAATGGCTTTGAAAGAAGCAAAATTTTAAAACACAGTAAAGCTTTTGTCTGATAATCTACCAACTCAGCAGATAAAACTGAGCGGAACGCCAGGCACATCCAATGCTAACGTATAGCAAATTCTGTGAAGGTTTTGAAATACAGAAGATTTTGAGATGAATAAGATTTTTAAACAAAGCATATTATCAGAGAAAGAAGGTTTTCACGTCGAGAAGACTTTCAGTTGACTTAGATTATCAGGTAAAGAGGATTTTCAGGAAAAGCAGTATCTCAATCAAAGAGGAATTTATTATAAAGAAGATTTCAACATTAAAGGATAGTGAGACAAAGAATTTTTCGACATTTAAGAATAGTGAGACAAAGAAGATTGGTTTAACAAACATCCATCGAGAATGTTCCTGTCACTATCACGGTTATTAAACCTTTCTAAACATTCAGAGGTTCTTGAAATTGATACTCAATTTTGTGCATTTAAGGTTGCACTTGGATAGTTCTATCTCTTCGTGTCAATAGTATTCAAGCAAGAGCCATTCAAAGCACCCCTAAATTTTAAGAATAAACTATGCTCATTTTAATATTTGGGTTCAAAGTTTCATCTATAGTTGCTTATATCACGCAGTTTGCCTTGAAAGGTGGAGAGTGATGAAGTGATATACTGAAGTGCACTTTGCAACTTCTGAAATGTTTAATCTCACGACGCTCTAACTGAGATTGTTTTCAAAGCTTTTTATAATAAGAAAATACACAGCTCTGAAAAGTTAATTAGAAACAACGCTAATTGATGCAGCATGTAAGGTAGATAACTGGAATCTAGACAATAGATCCACGTTTCGAATGAGGTCTAGATAACTTAAATCTAGACAATAGATCCACGTTTCGAATGGTAATATGGTTCACAGCTTTACACACAGAAAAATTATTTGAAAAGGGGAAAAGGAATGTTTATGTTATTGGGTTCAATGCAATTCTTTTTGAAAACAATACAATTTCATCGTGTAGATCATCATGTGATTAAAATTTAAACCAAGAATTTGAACAGATGTAAATTGTATTTTGCTCAGAATCAAAAGATGATAAAATATTATTTAAAAAAATATATTTCTAATTGAAAACCAAACTAAACGGACTCTTTGACCTCAAAAGTTTTCAAAGTCTTCGTCAGGACGATGCAGCCAGGCCTCTGTGTTCACCAATCAATGCATTGGTCAAAGAGTTTTTTGAATTTTCAAATGAAAAATGATGTTGATTTTAAGTTCCTTTTGTCACCTTGAAAAAATGACCCAATAATATTTTGATTAAGACGAGCTAAACCTAATTAAGCTTTTAATTACGCCATTGCGGAAAAGGCACAATGGTCAATATTTTAAGCCAGCCTTGCTGTAAACAATGTTTTACAATCAACACCTCAACCTGTAAACTTCCCATCTGATTAAATCGACGTATACCCGCTAAGAAATGAATTCGGTATCATGTTAACATGTTCCAAAACTAGTTTTGACTTCACTGACTGTTTATTGCCAGGTTTTTGACCTATCAGATCCATTACCAGAATCCTTATTACATCACAGTATAGTGTATGGAGTCTAAAAGCATGGTTATTTGACTGGCTTAATGGCTTTTCCATGGTTTCTGGAAAGTTTTAGAGACAAACAGGACACATTGACTGGAAGTCAATACCTGACTTTATCTTAGCCCAAAAACCCAGGACATCGTAAAATATTCAAGCATGTAGATAATACTTGGCCTGCTGTGACCAATTTGAATTGAAAATTGATACCAAATGAAAACGAGGCAAGTTAATTTTTAACTTACACCGCGGAATTCCATGGCCAGGGCATGTTGGGCTCGTTATAAGGGCCGTCATATGTGCCACGAAATTGGTCTTTTGGGAAGTCGTCATCGCATTCACAAACAAACAGACGATTGCACTTTGGAGCTGCAGAAAAAAGTGTTATTGTGAAATTTAAAATGCTGTTTAATCGAAAGGTTGTAGTCAGTTTCTATAATCGGGGTTTTGATAGCACGTTCTAATAGCTACATTCTCATTAAAGTGTAGAGACATGTTTCCTGTGTAACAAATATTCTAACTAACCTTACCAAATGCTTTCAGCTCAAAAGCTTGCTTTATTCAATTTGGATGAATTTGAGAGCAAGAAAAATAAACATTTACTGCTATAAAAAAGAAATCATTGACCATATGCTATCATGCTACAGAGAGGATATACATCGATTTAAATATTCATAGAAGGAGAGTTAGTTTGCTTAAGGCACAAAGTTACCCCAATGACCATGGCATTTTATGCAAATTGAATCTAGCGTGGTTTATTGAGGTTTACCTCGTTAATAGTCAACATGAGACCCATACAAGCAAAACTACTTTATCATCAACCCCAAAGATGCTTTTACAGCCGCCAAGCATTGAGAAAAGACAAAAGGGGCAGATGAGGGAGAGAGAGGACGGATAGGTAGAGGTGGCAAAGGGGACAGACAGCTTAAGTTCCAAGCTAAGAGGTCCCCTTGAGTTAAATATAGACTAACTTCCATTTGGCGCTTATTAGTTAACCAATCAAATTTCAATTAAAATGACATGGTCTACTTTCTCATTCCGGTACAAAATTTATTTGCAATAAAACTTTTGCTGCAAATTGAATAGATTGTAACCAATTGTTGACCAGCAATCAAGTAAATTTATTAACCATCTTACTTCTCATCCTGCGCTCTGTTCTATCCCATGATGCTAACAGCATAATGATCGTTACAATGACAACAGCAACAACACAACCAGCAATGATCGGCCCTATTACGTTTTCTTTTTCCTCCGCCACAGCGACACTCTCGAGTATTGTCCTCTTTTCTTCTGAGACAACTCGTGTAACCAAACCTGCAGTCATATTTCTGGCTTTTAGTTTGATATCAATGACAACACAAACAATTTCGTTATTTTGATGGAAGATATATAAGCCAACAACGATGTAGATGGAGGCAAAGCAAGTAATGGGTGCCTAGTAAAATAAAAGTGCTGCTCTCCCCATTTCTTCAATAAGTCCTAATGCGTTATTGACCGGCAAGGAGGGCGGATGAGATACGACTCCAGGGGTTAACGGCTTCGGGCGGAAGAACTCCTGGAAAGAGGGATGGTGTCCCTTTAAAAACACTGTAGAGGTGGTTCTGGGAGCCCATCTCTATTAGCCCCTTAGTTTTATCTATGACCATGACAACAAACCAAAACTCAGATTTTGGGATAGTTGGAGGGTCTGATAGAAGATGGTACCTGATGATGAATGCGTTATTGAAGACCTAGAGTGGAGTAGTACATTTCTTACTAGAAGTGCCTCTGACTATTTGCACAGGGTTGATATTATTTTCATCAGCAAAACTCTCTATCAGTTGTGCATACGTAGCGCCTAATTGCTTGAAAGAACTTTAAGCTACTTGCCTTACATATTGCTTGGGACATGGCTCAAGAGGTCATATTTTACTTGTCAGTTTGGAGTTATGTTCTAAAAAAGAGAACCAAACATACCATTTGCAGTGACATGCACTTCAATCGTGTTACTAAAAGGACCAACACCAACGGAATTTTCACTGGCAACAGCAAAGAACGCCTTGGAACCGACTTTCATATCAAATGTCATCCAGAGCTTGTCCGATGGCACTTGAAGATAGTTCCAGGACGACAGATTACCGTATCTGTATTTGATTTCATGGCGAACAAAGGGGCTGTGACCGTTGAAGCCTGGGACCCAGCTGATGTTGATGGAGGTTTTGTTGAATTGCTCTGCTTTAATGGCCCTCGGTCGGGCTGGAAAACCTGTTAAAAAACATGATGAATATCATTTCTGCAACCATTTCTCAAACAATAATAAAGACAATCAAGAACTCGCGAATAATACAAAAAGACATAATAAGTGTTTTCCATCAGCTTTTGGATTTTCATTCGAACATTTGAGGTTTAGATAAGTTCACTTATATAAATTAAAAAGATTATAAGAATACGGCATTGCCTTGATAAAATCGTTGCTATCTGGAAAGAACGAAGTATCGAGAAAGGACTTGAGTTTAGAAAAATAGGTATCAAAGATATCCTAGAATAATTAAGGGACATTTGAAAAATGAAAAAAATACACCAAGAAACCTTAGCTTAAAATTAGTGAAAGATAAACAGAATGTCTGAATTCTACCTTGCACAACAAGTGTAATGATATTCCAGTCAGAGCCATATTGATTGACAGCAGAGCAGTTATAGGCACCAGCATCTTTTAATTTTACGTCACTCAATACAAGTTTTCCTTCATTGTAATACGGAGTACTTCGTCGCCGTCGTCGTTTGATAATTCTTTTGATATTGAAGTACCAAGAAATGACCGGTTTGGGATGGCCTACTGCGACGCAAGGCAGTCCTACGTTTGCGTTCACTGGAACTTTGACAATCTGCGTAAGGGTCAGGATCCGAGCTGGAACTGAATAACCAAGAACGTTCTAACAATCTTTATGTTTTTCAGCTTTTACAACTGATGTCAAAAAATTAGTTGATAAATAAACGTAACGATCAAGGAAGCTCCTATTTCCTTTGTGATGTCAGTTAGTACAGTCTCCCTTTAGTTCTAGAGTGCACCAATCACATGTTGTGACAGATAATACCCCCTTGGTTTTGTAGTCCTTTCACAAAGAAGGTCCGAAGCGTCCCACATGGTCAAGTAGCTCAGCTGATAAAACATTTGTTGCTGGTCTTAGGTTCGATTCTTGTTTATCACATTCTCATAAATCCTGTTCTTCTTTCAAAGGTTTTTCATAAAATGAAGTTAACATTTAACGAGAAAGCAATACACGTAAGGATAACATCTAAGGATGATTTAAGGTTTGGAAATTTATAAAAAAATTTTCCTTGCGACAGCTTGCAAGAGAATGAATTAAATAAGATTGAATTATCCGAAAATTGAATAATAGACTAACTTTTTGTCATCGTCATTGCTTTGACAAAGCCTGTTCGAAGTCCTGTTCCAATGACAGTCTGTGCGTTCATCCAAATTTCATACTTCTTGCCGACTTCCAGTCCATGTAAGATACTCGAGGAAGCGTTCCTGCTTAGCCGAACCTCGTGTTGTGATGTAGATCCATCCATGGACTTGCGGTAGTGTAAAATGTAACCTGTGATAACGCCATTTGGTTTGGAAGGCTTCTTCCACGTGACCATAATTTGGTGTGGAGAAGCTGCAGCAGCTCTCAACTGCTCAGGTGGCCCAGGAACTGATAAAATAGAAATTAAAATTGGGCTATCGAACAGCAATCGCTTAAGATATTGGCTTTGTATAATTACGTAAACAGAATGATTGAAATGGAAATACACTCTTTTTTGATAAGAGCCAGTAAATTTAAGTTCAGGCTGACTGTTCTTAATTTTTTCGAAAATCTGAGGCTGGATTGTTCTTAATTTAAAGGAAGCAGCTTGTGAATGTTGTTGGAAGGAGGGGCGGTGCTAGAATAACTTCTAAGGGGGTGTCAAGCGTCAGCAGATTATTCCATTAATAAAATGAAGGCAAACTCTGATGACGAAAATAGAAGGTGCTAGGAAAACTTCTAAGGGGGGTGTCAAAGGTCAGTAGATTATTCCATTACTTAATATGTAGGCAGAATCCACAGGCGGAACGCTATTTGATGGTTTGATTCGGTTTTCTGGTAATCATTCTCATCATTCGCGCACCCATCCCTGAAACATTGTAATGTGGAGTTTGGTTCTCACGGGTTTCAGTTTGCCCATTAGCAGTTGAAATATTAACGTGCAAAGGAGCGAGAAGGATTCAATCGAAATGAAAATGAAAACCATCTGATGTACCATCCATTATCATTTTTATAATTAATGCCACCACCAAGTTTGCTGAGTAATGAACCGATTTCTAACTCTTGGGGGTGGCACTTATTGATTCAAGGGTTATGAGAAGTAAACCTTACCATCTTCCAGCGTCCTTGAGATAATACTTTTGCTTGTCTTTCCGTCTCCACCTTCTGTGAAAGCCAGAACAAAAATCTCGTATTCTGTATACTTTTCCAAATTAGTAAGTTCGGCATAGTGAACACGAGTGACAGTCTTCTCAAGAACTTTCTTCGAGAGTTTCTTAAAGTATTTGACTTTGTACCCTTTAATTAGTCCATGTCTGTGTGGAAATGGGGGCAGTCCCCAAGTAACACGTATTATCTGAGAGCTTATTGCAGTGGCCTTGATGCTGGTCGGTGGGGCAGTCGGAGCTAGAAGAAGAATATGCAGGTAAAAACAATCAAAAATAACAGTAATTGAGCAAATATGTCAATTAATAATCAGCATTATTATATGCAATATATGCATTCATTCATTCTTAGCAGCTGCCTCAAATGCTTATTAAACGCAAATTCGTAAAGAAGTTTTTACTGATTTTGATCTGTTTCTCTGCTATCATGAAACTCTGTTAGTTAATGAATGATTCAATCGATAATTCAATTAATTTTGCTATATTTCTTCTCTCTTCAAACCTCGGAACGAAGGAAAATAGTTTCTGTTCACAGTTTATGTCACAGATTGAATGCCAACATAAACAGAGAATTTTAAATGCACGCGTCATCAAATGTACTCCTACATTGAACAATTCTACAATAAGTGTGTGGATAAAGCACTGCAACGTAGAAGCACTATAAGAACTGTTTGGCATATGTTCCAGTTTTTCCTATCAAATCAAGCAATAGTCAAATGTTCGTACAAGGTCTGTAAGAAATTCAGCTGAAATTAACTTGATTTCTTGATTGAATTTTTTTTGAAATAGCAGAAAAGAGCTATCTACCTCCTTGCAGAGTGGTTCTTCTTTCAACAGGAGAAGGGGGACCAACTCCCGCCTTTGTAAATGCCTTCACCGTTATCTCATACGAAGTATACGGCAATAAATCCTCCAGCAAAGCTTCATGCCGTTGCTGTCCCTGGACTAATATATCTGTGTCTGGTGTGGAGGCAAAAAACTCTTTGTACGTGACGTAATAGCCAAGTAGGATTCCGTTTCGTTGATTGACACGAGGGGCCTTTAGAACAAAATCAATTGATCAGAATAAAGAATTGAATATTCAGAGTAGCAGAAAAAGGTACCTGAAAATCTACCTCAAGTAATGGCTCTCTTTCTACTGTTAGTCCTTAGAAATATGGTAATATTTTCATAGTAATATAATTAGAATTCGTTTGATTTAATATATTTGAGAAATTTATCTTATAACATTGGATTCTCGTCGCCGTTTTGCTTTGTTCCTGAATTTATCCTCGTATATATATTATACTCATTGCAAGATTCACAGAATCCAGCGGACAGCCTATCCTGCGGTTCTTCCTTCTCACACACAATATTTTCAAAGACCGTTAAAGTTCATTGTTTACAGTTAACCTATTCATATATTACACTTTCATTCATCAACAACTAGCAGTTTATATTATCGATAAGCTCTAAACTGACCGGCTAATTTGGCTCGATATACAGACATGACGACGACATAAACAAAGCAGGAATATGTGTATGTAATTCAGCAAGTTTGAGGATGCTAATATTGCATAAATAGGCTGTGGTTGGGCAGTCCCAGTCCGGTTAAAGAGGTGTTCGTAGTCTGAATTTAGGATTATGAAATGATGGTTTCGCTAAGCATCTTTTATTTAACTCGTTGCATGAAACTTACCCGCCATTGTACTTTTAGTTTATCTTTTGCAATAGCAGTAACAGTCACATTCGTTGGAGATGATGAAGGAGCTGAAATTGCAAAAAATGTTATAAAGTAAATAAGTCTTTTGTGCAGCGAAAATGAAAAAGGTGGCAACACAATACGTGTAACTGAAGTATACTTATGATCGGAAACTTAACAGATAAAAAATGTGGAATGACATCCACTTTGATGTGATGTCGAAATTTGTTTATTCAGGTGCCCATCTTTATTTTCGAATGGTATGCTTTCCAAGGAAGTTTTTGCTATAAAATGGACCAAAGGAAAAACATTTTTTTGAAAAAATTAATTTCACCGTCATTGAGTGTTCTTTAAAGAGAATCTTTTATTTACTTCACAGTAATTTGAATGGACATTGCATTTCCTCAGATATCAGAATCTTTTTGGTCTTTTGCTTCGACCAACGGATGGCAGAGGCTTCAATATGTGGCGGCCAAACGCGAAAGAACCAAAACGAAAAATTAAAAAAGAATAGAAAAGGCCCAAATTACGTTCAATATTTTCAAATAACTATGGGAATCTTTTACAATATCTAGCTTTCGAATAATCGTAAAAAAGGTTGGTTTCCCTGTTTTCTTTTCTATTTCAGCACATCAAAATCTCAATCACGAAAAATAAAAAAACTTTTATTAAAATTTCTTGTCTCAAACAACTATCTCTTATTGAGCAAATCAAACAAATTTGATGCCAAAATGCTACTGAAATATCTTCGTTTTACCTTCCTCTCTTGTTCTGAATACAGAGTCCTCACTAGGCTGGCTCTCGCCAATGCCATTCGTTGCTCTGATTCTAAAATTGTAGTTTACTCCAGGTGACAATCCATGTACAGTGGCCTTTGTATTGTTCCCAGGAACAAAAACTCGAGCTACCTTTGACCACATGTCTGAATGTCGCTTATATTCGACTGTGTATCTTAAAATTGCAGAGTGACCATTATATGGCTTGCTCCATGTAACTTCCAACCAGCGAGACGAGATTTTTTCAGACAGAGGAATCTTTGGTGGATCTGGCCTCTCTGTAAGAAAAAAATTACAAGAAACATGATTTAAATCAAAATTGAATTAATTGGAAATTTATTTTAACAAATAAATTTTTACTTTCACTCTGATATCTGAAATCAATGACACCAATAGTTGGTAATGTAAATGAAATGGCTTTTGTCAATTCTAAGGCTTGGGACTGTGGAAGCACCATAATTATTAAGAGACAATTTTCACGCATGTAAAACTAGATCAAGAACCTCTTGATAAAGGGTGATAGAAAGAATTAAGGTTGCAAAAAGGCGTAACTATTAATGAATTGGAGAAACAGTGCCTCTTCACAATCTTGAATTGGCGTTGCATTCACCCCAGCTGCTTTCCGTTTAGTAAATGCATATGTAAAACGCACCTAAAACAACCACTCGAAAATCTTGTGTGTCTCCACCAAAGGAGTTAGTAACCTGACAGATGTATGTTCCGTTATCGGCTCTTTGCAGTGTGTTAATTTTCAAAGTTGAATTCACGTAGACTTGATTGCCAACGCGTCTCATCAGCTTGTTTTCATTGAACTTCGAAGAGACAGAAATAGGCTTTGAAGATTTGTACCAATGAAGTTTGATATCTGGAGTGCCAGATGCCTCGCAGCGAATTACTGCTGATGCATCCTTGCGCTGTTTCACAACTTTGCTGCGAGCAGGTATGACCTTGGCAGGAACTGGCGAAGAAAAATAAGAGCAATTTTTTTAAATTTTTATAATCTTTTCATGACGAAGATATTAGTAGAACGTCATTTTTATACTGTAAATACTGTTAACTTTTAAAAGGCTGGAAAACATAAACAGATTTGCTTTTTTATTCTATTTACGCGAAATCACAAAGAAAAGTTTTTTGGAGCATGTTCTATGATAGACAAAAAGTTTCTTAGTTGTTAAACTGCTTGCAAAGGAAGGCAATTAATTGGTCCTGCATTCTCGCTATATTTAACATCAAAATATAGGGCAAAATTGTCATCTACACAGAGATGTTAGTGCTATGCTATGAAATTTAAAACAGTTTGCTGCTCAGCTACTGTGGGTACAAACCTTTGATATCAACTGTAATTGTTCTTTCTGCGTTTTTTCCAATGTCATTTTCCGCACTGCACGTGTACTTCCCATTGTCCTTCGCCGATGTCCGGTATATAAGAAGAGAACCGTTTTGATACTGTCGCACCCGGTCGGTCAAATGAAGCAATTTCCTAGCTTCACTAAATTCACCCTTTTTATACCAAACGATTTGTGGAGAAGGAAACCCTGAACCTTTGCATATCAGATGAAGTGTGTTTGGTTTTAGAATTGAAACGTCGTTTGGTGCAAGCGTGAGTTTCGGAGATTCTAAAATTGGGTCGAGGAAATAAATTTATTTGCCATATTACAAATCAACAAATAGAAGTTAAATTTATAGTATGATTCATTATACTAAATGTCATATCATATAATATTATATCATATCAAAATTTATGCGTGATATAAAGCAAGTATTCAACATCTTTTAACATTAAACATTGCAAATAATAAAAATTTTAAGTTTCTGCTCAGAAACGTCATAAATTATTTATCTATTGATTGTGATTTATAGGCATGCATACACATGGGCAGGCATTTTAAGGAAATTGACGAACCGTGTACCAGAAGCTCTTCGGAGTAAGATGCCGATCCAGCAGCATTTTCTGCCTTGCAGGTGTACCTTCCTCTGTGTGCTGCTTTTACCTCTGAGAATGTCAAATAACTTAAGAAGTCTTTGGTGTCGACAGTCACTCCGTTCCCGCTAATGATTATCTTTCCATTCCAGTACCAAGTTATTTTAATGGGAAGATCGCCTGTTGGAACCTGGCATGTTTTCGATGTCCGGTGTCCGGCTTCGATTGGTGTCCATTTGAAGGGGGCAATTGTAGGAGGCACTAAGAAGCAAAGTATCATCATAAAATATTATATGAGTTCTAGAGAAAATCACGTAAAGCCCAAGTCCGTAAGCTTGAGTTAGGCTAAACTTGTGTTTGATAGAAAAGATTCGCTTTAGCTGTTACAGATATTGCGTATTTTCATGACAGTGGCCGCTAGTGGTGATAGTTACTTGTCTAACTTGTAAAGAGTCAAGCTGAGATGAATGGAGCGTATGCGGGTATGAGAACCTATTTTGTTACAGTACCGTAAAGTTGATAGACTACGATTAAAGCAATCATGAAAAGTGATATTTCGATGGAAGAAGGACCATATGAAGAGATTTGCTAAGTCTCTTCCAAATAACTAAATTAAATTTGGAAAATTTTTTGAAATTTTAAATGTATTTTTTCCCTTTTCTCCTACAAATTGAATTCTATACTAACATCATTGAAGGTTTTTTGCTTAAAAAAATAAATAATCAAAGTGGCTACCTTGAACATATAGACCCAGTGTCTTTTCATCGTCTCCTACTTCATTAGAGGCCTGGCACTTATATTGCCCTTTGCTCTTTTCTTGAACTGAAGAGATGAACAGCGTTCCATTTTCAAATATCTTGTACAGGTCATCAGTTGCTAGATTGTGCCAACTATCCTTGGACCATTTGAATGTTGCCAGTGGGTAGCCTTTCGCAATGCAGTGGAGGTAAACTGGCTGGTTGACCAGCGCGTAAACACGTTCTGGGAAACGTACGATTGTTGGAGCACCTTTAAAGGAAAGCAAAATGGAGGTAAAGTATGGTCATACCATATTGTATAATGATTTGTTTCGTGAGTGTGTCTGAGCTATTCAAGTGTGACTAATTCTGAAACTAAAGAGGAATACGGCAAGAAGAAAAATACAAGAAGCTGCAGCAAAACAAAATGTCTTTCTCGTTAACGTTACCTTTGACAGTCACATCTGAAGTCGCAGTGGCCACACCTGCTTTGTTCTCTGACTTGCATGCGTAAACGGCACTGTCACTCATCCTCAGTCCCTGTATCATTAAAATGCTTTGAACTCCGCCAGATGCTGTGTTGCTGGTCGCGATTGTGACGCGTTGCTGGCTGTTGAAAACCTGCACTCCGTCCGACCACCACGTGAATTGTGGTGTCGGCTGCCCCGCAGCAATGCATTTTAAGCTCAGGGTCTGATCCTGTTCCAGAACCTGGCGCGTTTGTGGCAATGTTGTGATTCTTGGCTTTATTGCTACAAAGGGAACGCGTGTATAGGACGAAATCAGAATTTGTTTTGTCGGCTGATTTAGCAAGATTTTTTAGGTAAATGCAATGGGATCCAGAAAAAGGTCCAGGACATGGTGCAATAAAAAATCAAAACTAAACTCGAGATTTAAACTTAAATTGATAAACAGCAAATGAGTTAGTCAGTTAAGATGCGACAGAAGTAAGGAATGTGCAAGGTAAGGAATGGGTTAACATCCATAAAAGCAGCAGATATGTTCTACAAATACGAATTAAGATAAATAAAAAAGCAATGGAAGTCGACGTAAGAAGTAGATTTTACCTCCGACAACAAGTCTGGCGCTGGTCTGCCTCTCCTCCACAGCATTCTTTGACACGCATTGGTACACACCCTCGTCTCGATGCGACACCAAGTATAGAAGCAAGTCACTGGAAAGGACATTGTTTGTTTGAATAGACCTATCAATAACCATTCTGCTGCCAGTAGAAAGTGGCGTTCCATCTTTTATCCAGGTGATCGAAGGTGTTGGGAGGCCAGTGACCTTGCATGAGAAACGAAGGGTATTGCCAAGAGGTATGAACTGGCTTTGCAGCGTTCTAGTGAATCGTATGCCCTCTGTAATGAAAGTTGGAAAATAAAGGCGTTGTATCTAGCATAAAATTTGGAACTAATCGAGGGTTTTTTCTACTTCAATGAAAACTGTGGGATAAACGCTGTTAAACGATTATAGAACACGACTTTACAGATACGAAAAAGCTAGTCCACGTAAAATTGATTCGGATAAATGATGTAAAGCTTTGTCTAAAAAGTTCTACTCGCCTTAGTCCTGCAAAAAAAACATTTAATACAACATGTTATTTGAAAAAAGGGCTGGAATCAAAAACGCAAAATCAGGAAGAATAGACTACGACAAACTAATTGTTCAGGCCAAATGAGAGTTCTTAATTCAAAGCGAAAGTGAAATCCCAAAACCACAAATCAACTTCTGTTTCTGATGCCAAAAGTTTTTAGAATCTATCTTTATTGAGGGACAATCGAAACAAATAGAACTTAATTTTTCTGATAGTACATCTTTTTGAAATGTTTCGCTTACAGTAAGACTTTCAATGTCGGACATCTCCAGTTAACGTTCACGTGATGGTCATTGATGGCGGCAATGCGGTTTTTGGACTGACGCAATTACCTCCTTTATTTCTCTAAGATTTGCGCAAGAAAATAAGCATCTTTGTAGTGTAGCTCTGAAATGGTTCAAAAAGTGGGCAAAAAAGGTGTGTTATCCATACTTTGATTGGCTAGGCCAAAAAGCCAACTTTCATTTCCACAATCTGCAACAGAAGAGCCGCCACTGAATGCAGCCGAATGTCTCTATCTGTAGCCTTCATTAAAATGATAGTTCTCTACAGAACAGAGAAAACTTTTCGCAATAGCCGTAGATTATTTAAAGGTTTAACTGTATTTCTGTCTGAGATTAAGGTACCTTTTGCAATATACTTACCGGTGATACTGAGGTTCATCGAGGCTGACAAGGTTTGGTTAGGCGATCTCACGATACACTTGTACTCTCCAGCATCGCCGTTACTGACGTGTTTGAGGACCATTGATCCACTGACAATATTCACGACCCTTGGGGATATGGCTAGTCGTGCCCCGTTCTTATACCAAGTGTATACTAAGGAGGAGCCTCCATTGGCAACACAAGGAAGCACTGCATCTGTCCCTTTCAAAACATTCTGAGAAACTGGCGGAAGTACCAAACTTGCCTTTTTTGAAGCTTGATCTGTAGGGGAAGCGAAAATCAAACTTAATGATAATCTTCTTTGTTTGGTGAAATTTTGAAATTCTTATTGCAAAGGTAGGCAATAAGAAAAAACTTTAGCCCCATGCGTATAATTGTATCATTGTAATTCGTCCTATTATCGTGACATTTAGCATTCTTTTAATCAGCGAGGTAAAGGGGGTAGCATACAGACACATTAGAAGCATGGATTTTTTATGGGATTTTTTATGCATTTAAAACACCATTCATTGCAAGATTCCAAATATTTGTGCTATGCATAGGAAAAGAAATGTTTCGGACTCAGTATGTCAACTAACCAAAGTTGCAGGATTTTTTTAAGATGAAAAAATTTTTATAAATCTTGTTAGCTCCACTCACTTTGTATATACACGTATGCACTGGAGCTTTTCAAGGTTACTCCACTCAGACTGTCTTTTATAAAGCACTTAACAGCCAGAAAGTTGTCCGCATTCCTTATCCTCGATATAATTATATATGGCAGACCCTTGAGGACATGGAATCTTCCATTTGACTCTCCATCTCTCACGTTGGTTTCCGTGTTGCTTGTCTGCCATCTCAACGACCACGAAACCAATGAAATGTGAGAGGCTGCTTCGAAGTGACACTTAAAGACCGCTGATCCACCAACGAAGGACATTTGATGGAACACCGTTGGTGAGTACGGGCTGTCTATGACTACAATGAACAAATGTGCATAGATATTTAAAAATCACGAATCGCTAGAAATAAAGATATCCAGTACCGCAGGAAGGTTAGAATTATTAGCTTGCAGCATTGCTTGAGAGCAGTGCAAAGGGGATTGTCACTGAAAACAAAGAAATCTCGTCTTTTTTTGCAGGTGGGTTGGGGGATGGAAAAGGGATGGGGGGTGTAAGAGGTTTGCTTGCATTGTGTTTTTAGAGATACGAAAACTCTTCTGACTTAAAAGAAACAAATGTTTGAATGGATTTCGCTGCAAGGGTATCTGCTATATCTTAACAAAGACTGCTGCAAAATTTTGACATTTTTTGAACAAAGCAAGTATTTTGAAAAAAGAATGATTACCTCTGTATCTTATAAGTTACAAATGACATAGAGAGAGACTTAGAGATACTTTAATGGTGCAAACCAAAAAAGGTCACGTTTTTTTGAAATTTTCCAAGTTTTTCTGCAGTAGAATAGCACTTTAGGCCGTGACTGTCTGGTTTTAATGAAAAATGGTTGTTTCTCTTTACCTGCGCGTTTGTAGAGTCCAGACAACAAGCAATTGTACAAAGAAAACTGTCGGCAAGGGCATCGAAGACAAAATATTATTGAAGGAGCGTGGCTTGCATTGAAAAACAATGCCTTCTGTTCATTTAGCGTGGAAAGTTTTTAAAATGTTTGTAAATTGGCTGGAAAAAAAATCTCCTGACTCTGGAAATGAGTCAGTAATTAAATTGACGAAGCATATTCAGTGCAAAAGCAAGCATCGACTTTGGAGCTGTTTCATCTTGAATAGTAATTTATGATATAGGAATGTTTTTTCAAGGCAATGTCTAGACATAAAAGTAAAATTTTGTTTATTAATCAATTCGATTATTAGAAGCCTATTTTTATGGTACCTCACCATGCCACCTTTGGGCATTGAAATTCCATCGCCAAAAAATGATTGGAAACACCCGAGTTATTGTTAAAAATCGAATTCTTAACCGTACCTGCTTTCACTCGAATCAATCGGCTTTGAAGCTTGCCAATTTTGTTTTGTGCCAAGCATCTGTATTGAGTGGCATGGACGTCAGGTCTGAAGTCCCCTTGAGCAAAGGTAGGGAACTCCAACGAGCCATCCAGGAGTATATGTCGAATCCCAGAGATATTTTTTGCTGCTTTTCCATCGACAGTTTGCCAAGAAATGGTTGCTTTTGGGCTTCCATTTGCCTTGCATTCGACTTTGGCTGACTTTGTGTTTAGGAAGGTTACATCCGTTGGTTCTTTGGTGAAGTACAATGACTGGGTGTCTGTAATAAAATAAGTTGCATTTGTTTTTACGCAATTCGGTGATGCAGTGGAATGTTGAATAATCAGGCAAGCAGCTAATAGCAAGCAAAATGCATATGAATTAATCATTTTTGTTTCATTTTATTCTTCATGTGCTTTATAGTTTATAGTTGCTGTCGACAAAATGAATTTCCTGAAAGTAAACATTTAGCTTCCCGGTATTCTGTGATGATAAATCTTTAGGGTTAATCTCTTTCATGTCACGACATGGTCTTTTCGTTTCCTACTATTTAACAACGAATTATTTCAAAACCAACCCGCTTGCAAATTCAAAATATCACCAAAGACCTTAACCATAAGAGCATTGTCCTCAACAGGTTTTACTTTCGAAATCAGTCTCCTGTCGATGTGTCATGTCGATCTACAAACCTGGAAAGAACGTGTTGACATTGCCTACCCTTTCACTTTACTCCAGTGTTAATGTATCTACTATTTATATAAATGTCTTTAACCTTGAAAGGAGGGGGGGGGGGTGGACATTGTATCTGTATATGTTTTATTGTGCATGCTTTCCAGTATATGTTTGAATAAAAAACACTAAGGATTTTAGGCCGTGTGACCAACCAAGAGAACTTCTGCATGTTTTTCAGTGCACGTATGTCATACAAAGAGGCATCGATGCAAAAGGCATGAAATTCATAAGTTTATAAAACCTCTTTATCTACCTGGAATTCAATGTTTTTCTAAAAAGGTTTTAACATTAAGTAGCCGTGGTATAACCGATCATGTTTTGAGCTTATTGTATATTGATAAGACAAATTAATTTGAAAAGTGCACCCTACGGAACATGAGACGAGGATAGGACAGGTGTTCTTGGTTGCTGTCAAAAATTTATAAGGATAACAGAGCCCAGCAAGGAGTCTTGCCAAACGACAAAAAATGGGCGGAGTCTCGTGACGACAGACACAAAGGCAATCAGCAGGAGCTTGCTACGTTATCTGCCATATGGTCTCTGAAAATAAGACTTGTAATCAAGATTGTCGAATGAACTGCTTCGCAAAGGTTTTCACTTTAAATCAGCTTAGTCTCAAAAACATGTAAATGTTTTGCTTATCTATTTCAACCCAGCTGCACAAGAAGTGATTATATTGTATGAGGGATCAAAGACTTACGTGATCTAAATCTGCTCTATGTTTTTTTGTAATCACAGATCTCAGCCGGATTTAAAACACAAATTTTAGCGATTCTAATTCACTAAATAAACACGGCCAAGGCCTAAATTGTGGATGCAGGCTAGCCTAGAATCACCAACTTAGGGCAAGCAGTGCATATTAAGCACATAACACTACCAATTAAGTATAAACGCCTATTTTGTTGTCAGTTATATTTAAGAAACCTCCATCTTTCTCTCCTGCCTCTAAGCTAGTGCCTCTTAGCTAGAGATCAGAATAATTGCATGGTTTGACCATGTTATGCGAAGAGATAATGTATAAACTGCATAGATTAATGAATGTTGGGACACAGACGGAAGTAGGCCAACGAGATGACGTATAGAGAGGTAGATCAAAGAGATGATGTATAAACTGCAAGAAAGCATTATCGCAAGTGTAGAAAAAAATGAACAATTCTGCTTCTTTGGGCATCCAAATCCAAAAGGGTCAGAACAAGACCAGAAGAGGAACTCTAATGTATTTAATGGAATTTTTCTAAATCGATAATATGAAAGTGCAGCCAATCGATCTTAAATACGTAAACTGCTTTTTGAAGCCTAAATGCTTTAAATCCCTTTCTTATCATCAGGAAATAACTTTTTCGAGGAAGTGATATTTACAATTCGTGCTTATTCCTTTGGACTTGCCATTGATTGACATGGGCTGCACAGAATGCTATCCACTGAACTTAAACGGTTTTTAGACTCCCGTAAAGGTCTTCTGCATGATGTAAGTCAAGGCTGTTACTGACTATGTTCTCGGTCATGAACTAAGAGCTTTAATGCTAGATGCTAATTCAAAGCAAAATAACAAAGCTTCTGACTTCACAAAAAAACGAGAAATATACGCGACGCCTAGTGACCTAGACAAGGAAGTGTTTTTATAGATAGCGGTGATAATAATGATAATGCTAAGAATTAAAGAATAAAGAGGCGATGAGTCATTCGAATTGTAGGTGAAAATCGTATCTGTTCGCGATAAAAACTATTGTAATCATTCGATCAAACATAATCAATTCCCATGTCTTGTGACCGTTGTTTGAATTCGCGCCTGTGTTCCAGGCCACTGTGCCTATTGTCGAGTTTCATTTAAACGGGTACCTGTACCAGTTGGATAAAAACATTGTTTTGAAGTAGTTAAATTTACATGAGCTTGGTAATAGCAAAGGTATGTAATGTAAACAACAAAGCACAGCCATGGTTTATTATTCTTTGCCATCATGCGAAAAATTATGTCAACTTGCCAGCCAGCTGTACGTCGAATGGCCTACTAAAGACAAAAAAACGAAATACTTAGGATCCACCTGTTCTGGAATAATAGCTACTTTTTGAAGAACCGTCCTACAATCTTGACATTTAGGTGTAAGGAAAGCTAGATATGTTTTTCGGAAAAAAGTTTCATGTTAGCATTAATTTTAATTGAAAGGAAGTTTTGGCCTAAAAAGATTAGTATGCAACTAGCAAGAAAAGTCCCAGCAGAGTAAAGTAAATTTGAAGTGTTGAAAAGTTAGTGAAATGAAAGCTCAAAATACTATGTCCCATTCATAGTATAGAATTTCAATGACCATTAAAAATCCTATTGGCTATACTGTACTATAGTCTATTGTTACGTTTTTCCTTCAGCAATGTAGGACTAATTATTCAAATTATTCGGCCTGGAGAGCCTATCTCGAATGGTTGAATGATGGGAAATGGAATAATGCGTTTAAATACTGTACTTATGTTTTAATGCCCAATATGTTCGTCTAACAAATCTGTCTATTCGAACGTCTTGCTGAATTACCTATGACGTCAGAAGAGGTTTCTTGTTAATAACCTGTTCTCTGCCTTGGGCTTTTCAGGATAATTATTCGACTCAGTTGAAAAAAAATCAAGAAACTTCGGTAAATCACATGAAGTTCTAATGACACTGAAATCAGACAATGAACAGATTTCTACTGTTTGATTAAGTAAAATTAGGTTTTTCTTATCAGAAATGTAATCTGCTTAAAATGAAGAATTCTCTACATAATCAATGTCTTCCACAATGTGTTCCTTCTGTATTGTTTAACAAACTAATTTTTATATGAATGGATTTAACGGGATTTTCTTATCGACCAACATTCGCTGAACAAAGCGACATGAAGTCATTCAAGCTTTCAAAATTGCCTTGTCGTAAAGACATGATGCTCACGTCGATTTATCTGTCAGTTAAACAGGGGGTTACTTGTTAGCCTCTTCGAAGCCAGGGTTTTATAGAAAATCTTCATTTTCAATAGTAAAAGTGAGTTTCAGGCCCTAAAAGCTAAGGCTGTAACTCCCTATCCTGGTTAAATGATGATTCTAGTGAATGCAGCCACCATTTTGGTGATTCCTGGCCTAGGAATCATAAAACGGGGTCGGGATACTCAAATTGAATACCATGTGGAAGAAAACAAATAGTGGCAGCTTGAGAGAAACGAGGCAAATTCAAAATGACACCATATTTCAACATGTCTGTGACTCTAAAGCAAAACCTTCTGCTGCCATCTTCTAATTGGCTTACTCAGTGCAAGCAGAAAATGTTGCAACATTGTATCAACGAATCATGTAATCGGCATGAGAATAATTCAAATTTCAAATGTTTTTAACAGGAAATGAGTTTTGAAATGGCATTTTAAATGCTCATTCAAAGCATTGGATAAAAATTGAGCACAACACGCGTTTCCCCCTGCTCGTTGCATAAAACGTACGTTGAAAGAAAAACCTGACTGAGTACAACTACAATCGGATCATATAAATATTTTTAATATTTAATCGAATGCAGCAAACTAAGTATGGTATTTGTGGACAGCTAATGGTCTGTCAAACTACTTTAGTATTTCTGTTAAAGGAAATTTGAAGCAGCTTGACAGGAATAAAAATTGTTTATAACTTGCAAACAATGCCAACAGCTGCCTGATGAAATTTACAATCGACTGCGTGTCACGTGGTCTGTAAAAGCTGCAGGAGTCCAAGTTATTTTTGCTAAGCCCTATTGCAACATATTGAGGTCTTTCAGGTGAAAATTTGTTTGTACAAAAGAAAGCAAATTAACCAAAAACAGGCATTTGTGAATTGTTGAAGATTGTTAAGATCATTTATTTTATAAACACGTATTTTGGTGGTTGACAAAGGTAATGTTTTCGATTGCACGAATAAAAAAAGTAATTCATTGGTATTACAATAAATTTTTTCATTTCGGAAATCAGATTTCAAATCTTGATTTTGCAAAGATTTGGAGATGTTATCAAAAACGAGTTTAGCATCAAGAATACAATAAATAAAGTACTTCACAATAAAACAAAGTTTTTGGATCTCTCCCAGAAAAGACTCAATAACACTTTTCTTTAAATTTCTAGATAATTTCGTATATAGCTTTGTGATCTCTTATGAAGTGCTCAACTGAGGAAAGGTAACATATTTTGTCAGTGCTGGCATGTAGTCGTCTACATACAAGCATGTTGGGACATCATTTCTAAGTTCAGACAACATTATTTTTACATTAAAAGATGATTTAAGTCATGGTTTGCTCTATTTAATATATAAAGTCATTAAAAAATGATACAAATCACGATTGCTCAAACTAATTATGTCTGTAGGCTATTTTTGATGTGGGGGGAAAATGAAAGAACTCTGACATCGGGACATTGGTTAGCAAATGCAAAATTTCCGCGTCTATTGGCAAATGGTCGCTGAAAGACCTGAAATGACTTGGAACTGATTTCAATAAAGAGAGTAAAAAATTCATGGTAATTGAGGTGGCGAGTTTCCTTGAATACAATTTGATATGAAAGACCATGAATTGTTTAT